GTAAGTATCAGGGGCAGGTTTATGAGTGACGAAATAACTGGAGAGCTTAGGATCGTCTGTGGTTTCTGAACAATTTGTACACATCAGCATAAATTATTTTCGAAATAATCTTAGCTGCTGAAATTTAGAGTATTTAAGTGTTTTGTCCAGCAATCTTCCTTGGATTTCTTCAGAGTAATGATCAAATGTAAAATCATTAAAGGGTATGTAATGTTGATCAGTCAAATCTATACCAAAATCTTATACGGTCACACTGAATAATGATTTTATTAAGTAAAAAAATTGAGTCAGTAAGATGTGAGTAATCGGGAAAAGAATTTTGTGTGCCCGATTATGTTATTGGTAGTTAATACATGGTGAATAAAAGCAGTGTATGTCCTTACGAACGACATGTTAATTACTTTCATGTCATTTTATATAACAGTTTATATCCAAAAATGTTTTGAAAGGTTTATCTGTATATAAAATGGGTGTCCAAATTAGCCTTCGCCAGAATAAATCTGGTTGTGATATTACCAGAGTGATTAGGGATAAGGCCTAAATTCTATGTTAATATGCGTTTATCAAGAGAAACCTAGTTGAATTCCGTTTGTTTTCTATTCAGGCTATTCTATTTAGCCCATGCATATAACGCCTCTTATGTAAACTTTTCTCTGCGGACGACGAACCCTTTCCGAGGTAGTTTAGTCTTTTCAAGGTCGATGTTGTGTTTTTTCGAAACTTTAACACTGTTGCTGATCTATTCCTAAGTTTTATGAGGTTATCTGGAAACTCTGAAACATGTTTCGAACGCCACTTAGATATTGACAAATAATCGTACAGAATATCTATACACATGTGCACCAGACTGATGCTTTAAAAGCTCAGATGGATGTGAAAACACCTGATATAGGATGGTGAAGTCTGCTCGGGTTGGGTGAGAATGATGTAATCTCGTGGTTAATACCCAAACTTCCCAATCCTTTCGTGATAAACAGGTGAATCCGCTTTCTTGTAGACTGGTTTGAATAAATTAACTTACTGTGCCAACAACATGTATAAGTTAGAACAAATTAGAGAGCTAAAGAGCTGAAACACTGTTGCTATGGCCAGTTCACTCATCCTTCAACGTTTACTGGTCCTTCGTGAGACGTGGGAATTGTTGAGTTTGACGAATGACATGGCTAGGGCTCCGTGACAATTCTCTTTCTTTACACTTTTGACCACAAGAGATATAAAAGTTTAAACTGTGCTGCGCATGAGTACAAAGTTGCTGACATTTTTGTCTACCATCGTGACGAAGCATTATCAAATCACATTCAAGTGTGACCAGAATTTCCATGAATTTTTATGTCGCCAAGGTGGGTTATTTGATGATGTGTACATATAACTATGTTGTAGTCATCATGCATCTATTTTTCCAGTTTAGTAACGCAACAACATTATTCTTATATAATTTTCTGAATCAGTGAGAACAAGTTATCTCATTTGCTTTAAAACCCATTAAAGAATAATGCAAAATAGCCTTCTAAATGACACTTTAAAATTTAGCGAGAATTTGAATATTTCTGTTGTCGATGGTAAGTTATTCATGCGTGTCCTCAGACAGTATTCAATATATCATCAAGTACTTCAGCAGGGTTATGTCTCTCTGGGTTAAAAATCTCACATCTGAAAATAAAGAGGGATTGGTTTATAACCATTGACTGTATTTGGTCTACTACTGAAGAGAAAGTTCGAAATTCTTCAGATGTCTGGCTTCATCATATTATAGTCATGGGTGTACTCTTAGTTACACAAACAGTTTAACCTCACCAGTGCTTCATTGCTTTGGTTTACACCGAGCGAAATCTATGACATGTTAGTTATCAAAATGCATGATTTTATTAACAACTTCAGACGGTTTAATAATCATGTGCTCTGACCATTAAGCCATGGGAGTCTGTCTTTAAATTTCCTCGCTAAATTAAGACTACTTCCCATCACTTTAAAAAGAATATATAAGAGTAAACCGTTACTGCATAGGAGATTGTAATTGGGTGAGCTACTTTCATATTTGTAACCATTTCGAGGTGTTTGCTGTTGAAACTATATACCAGGTGTTCCATAGAGTTGTCATGCGAACAACTACTACTATTAAAAACCTGAAAAATGATATAGTTGAAAGGCGTAGGCAGTTTACACCGCCCACCTTGACAGCAACTTCGTCATTATGTCAATTTGCACCCGCTGTGTCATCATATGTCTCTTACGGTTCCTGTTAAGTCGTTAAGTTGTTAAGAGAATAAACCATTTGTGTAAGTCATGGTAGTGTAAAGGAACACAACTCGCACAAAAAATGAATGATCAGAGAAGACAGAGGTCTAACACTGTTTAAATCCACCATTATTTTGATACCACTGTTTTCTATTCTAATTGCAACAACATAACGATACATAAGTGGTTAAGGCTATTGATTTTCTTGTTTTAAGGAACCATTTTTTTAGTTGACGGAATTTTACGACATATGTTGTAAGTTTTTAGCGTTGAGCTAGAGCACTAGGTAGCCTCTAGTGTATTTTCGTCTGTGATCACCTGACCTCATTAGTAAGGTGTAGAAACTTTCTGTATTACCTGTCAATTCTGTCATTACTTTCTCAGACAAACAGCCCAATAAAACACACAGTGATTCAGCTTATCACCACTTATTGTGGCACTCCATTCATCTTATACAATGAAGTACTTAGGTTTTCTTACGACCGTCTTGAGTGTTTCTGAAAACGAAGAACTGAGCAACGTTTTTGCCTTGACTAGATTTATCTATAGATGCTTATCAATAGATGCTTAAGTATTTAGGCAAATAGGAAGGTTGCCACCAGTCGCAAGTTCAAAAAGACCAGCCTAGAAACTTGTTAGGGCAGCTGATTTGCATGACTTGCTAGACTGAAGTCATCACTTTCAAGCAGGGATTGACAAACTCATGCGGAAGTCTAATATTAACCTAGAAACTAGTTTTGCTACAGAGAACTGTGAACAAGTTTGGACAAGTGTCACCATTTTCCATATAATTAATGACAGAGATTTGTCAATTGGGTGAAATTTAAGTGTGCTTTAAGAGCAAATTTTAGCTGACGATGCAAATATTTCGTCAACCCATCAGCCTGACTGTGAATTATTGTTAGTATCTTTCTCCCAGTCCATGTCGCCCCATAATATCTTCATATCCAGTGTTGTCTATTCCAACTTTGGCATTTAGATCTCTCATCAGAATGGTGAGGTCCTTCCTTGGGCATTTCTCAATGATTGACTGTAGCCGCTCGTAGAATTGGTCTTTAATGTCGTCGTTGCTATCATTGGTGAGTGCATAACATTGGATAATGTTCATCGTGATCCCCTCCTTCTTTGTTTTGAATGATGCTTCGATGATTCTGGATCCGTGAGACTCCCATCCTACAAGTGCATTTCGTGCCAGTTTGGACAGCATTAGAGCAACTCCCTGAATGTGTGGAGCATTTTCCTCTTCGTGGCCGGAGCATAGCCGCATCTCTCCCGTAGCTAGCCTTTCTGTCCAGCTTGAGTCCAGTGGGTTTCGCTGATTCCCAGTACTGCCAAGTTGTATCTCCTCATTTCCGTTGTTATTTGACTGGTCTTCCCGGTTTCCCACATTGTTCGAACGTTCCATGTACCTATAAAAAATTTTGCTCTGGTTGTTAGAAGGGGCATCGGCCTCGTGGCTTCCGAAGGAACTCGGCGTTCACCATGAAGCGTCATAATTCTTCTAAATGAAGACATTCTAACTCCCAGGGCAGGTTTAAAATGGTTTGAATTATTTTTTTCTGGTAAGCGTTTTTTTAGAGAGTTAGTTTTCTACGGGATGGGGTCGCTAACTCCATGCCCAACCCTCCTCCTTGACCCGGGCTTGGGGCCGGCAGTGACTCTAGAAGAGCTACAGGCGGAGTTAGAATTTGTTCATGTTGCCCGATTTTCTTTACCTTAGACGTGTCATGTACTATTGACAAAATGGGAAACGGTGAATACTTTGCCTTATATATATTGCAAATTGTCAGTATCCAGATAAATCCCTGAAGTTTACTTTAAAACATGGAGCATCTTGTAATGGTAGACAGATCCTCAAAATCAATAGTCCTCTAAGTCTTCGACATTGGTGCTGACCCCATTAGTTCTACTGGACACTGAAGGTGCTCGTACACGCATAAGTACCAGATCATCGGTGGGCACGCCGAGCTATGAGTCCTTTGCAACTTTTAGCCAGCTCGTACCAAACGTTTCTCCACACATCCATGACTTTTCAAATACATCTCCGAAATCCTTTATTTCTGACCTCTGATTTGACTGAGTTTGTATCCTTTGATTTGCGTGTAAAGACGTAGCAGAACTCCAAATACCTGTGGTGTCTGTCATCTAATTTCCTCAGAGGAAGATTATTTCTAAGACAACTCTATTATTTGACAAGCATTGTTGACTAAGTCAATAGAGAAACCACCCACAATCTACTTAACTCGTATTGTTTGTCAGTTGCAAACTCTGCTATTACCACGTAGCCCTCAATCACTTCCATTTCTCTCTGGAAATACGGAAAGAGTCGGGACCCATTAGGTATTAGAGAAGAGGGTCAAGTTCAGCCACAGCATGAGGATGAATCCGGATTTGCATTCCTTGGAGTTTTCACAGGCAAAACATAAGAGATACACCAGCTTTAATCAAATTTTAATTTTAACCTGGTTTCAGAAAGTTGGACGCAATTGCATGATAATCCGAAATAATTGCGAACAAATGATTTCACGTTAAAATCAGTGGGAATTAACCTACTCGTCCTGTTGTAAGATTGACTGAAGTTACTATGGTGGCTAATCTGATCCGAACTCGGAATCACTGTCAGTTTATGTTCAGGTATTTCAAAAAAATTAGGGGAAAATTATTACAAAAAATAGTGTCGTCCTATTCATGACTACGAGGTCACTGGAAAAAGGTTAGTTTCCAGTTTCTATCGTAATTTTGTTTAAATGAGGTCTCAATTAATTATAGTTTGTGTTCAACAAGTCCTGTAAGTTACATAGCTAAGCTTAGTCAGACTTTCTTATGTTGTAATTCAGTTGTCACAAGTCATTTAAAATTGCTTGTTTGGTTTTTGTTGTTACTCCTAAGTTTATTGTTTCGTAAATGTTTAAGTCCCGCTGGCGCTATGATGTTACGCTAAGTTGTCCAATAATCTTGTACAGAATCCGGTAATATGGTTGGTAAGGGTTTCATAGCTGATAAAATTTCCATTTGTTTACTCACCTAAAGCGGTAGTATTGAGTGTGTTCTCGTATCTAAATGTTTTGATTTTGATATTTGTAGCTCAATTTCAACTGACCCTGACTTATCGGTGCAAACACTAATTGTAATATTCTAATGTTCATAAAGTATTTATTTGATTTGGAATCGTGGGCTATTATCTTGTATCTGTTTTGCTTATGGACAGTTTCTTGTTTATGAGCATCTGCATCATACAAACGGATGGCCAATTTCAGTGCTGGCTAACATAAGAGTAGATTAACAACATAATCAGCTGAGTAAGATAGGATTAGGATTCCATGTACTTCTAGTATGGTTAGTGCAAAGGGATATAGTAAAAAAGTACCAAATTTTATTAGGTTGGTTTGATGTATTGGTGTTATATTGCATAAAGCATTGCTTTTCATGAATAAATAAAATTATTCGTAAGTCATTAAGAAGTTGTGTCTGAGCGGAATATCCAAGCGTTTCCAGTAAGCTCTAAACCTGACTTATTATTTGATACAAATGATTAGTATAGGCCACTCAAAAATTGTTGGAATTAAGACTTCCAGTGTTTAGTTTTTAATACGAAGTTAATAACAGTAGTGCTTTTGGATAAACATGTTTCAAATGGTCCAATTTGGTCTCAAACTTTCCATACTAATTTCTAACTCTGACAGTTTGGTTAGTTTTCCATTACTTTTTGGTTATTGACAATCGGGTTGTTAACACCGTTTTCCAACATCTTGAAATTCCATGTTAATCCCACTTAATATTTTAGATATAACTCTGCATATTCCTTTTTCGACTTAAGATCCATTACAATAACGGTTTTTATATAATCGTTAAATAATATAGCATGGTGTTTGAAAGTATTCAATTAATGGCGTTTGTATTACTATTTATTGAAGTTGTTAAGTTATTCATCCAGATTTAAGATTTGGTTTTAACTATCAATGCTTTTCATCCCCATTAAGACATCTTTGATCGAGATCATGAATCATTTGTTGTTCGATCGCCTTTGCTAACCTGGAAGCACTGTCGAGGAAATTCTGGGAGTTCTAGTGAGATGCCATGACCAGTGTAGCTTATCGGTATCTACCAGGTATCTACCACAGACATTGGAAGATGGTCGCGCTACTTCGTGAATTGGTTGAAGTTAGGCATTAACACCGTTGGATGCCGGCCCAGTGATCTAGAAGTCACGCGTTCGTTCGCGAGACCGAGTGTCCTGGATTCGAATCCCGCGTGCGAGATCGTGGATGCGCACTGTTGAGGAGTCCCATATTAGAACGAAACGACCGTCTAGTGCTTCCAGGTTTTCAGTGGTGGTCTAACATCAGTCGGTTCATGATCTTAATCAAAAACTTAATAATCTCCACAACCTCATACTGATAAAACATATTTAATGTACAAAAATATCAAAGTTGTGTGAGGATTCGTATATGATTGGGCACAGTGTGTCATGCTCATAACGTCATTTAGTGAAAATTACTATCTCCGTTTGCCTATTTAGTAACATGAAACTCACTTTTTAAGAATAATGTTCTTAATTCCTAAAGTAGCTTTCGCTCTATCGTCTACCACTTACTATGTGGATTTGTTACTGGTTGTATGATGTATATCTTGTAAATCACCTCGGGGTCATTACCAAATGTTTCATCTTTCTATTTCTTTGTTAGAATTCATGATTTCTAATCAGCACAATAATGCTGCTGTTTCGTACGCATACAATGCAGCGAATCGGCAACAGAGACAAATACAAATTGTTGATGCTAATTCGTTACAGCCTTTATCAGAATCACTCGTAAATGAAGAATTTAAACGTGACGAAATTCCAGTTCAGAATGCTCAAGTGGTTTATGGAACTTCTGCTGCCGGCTTTGCACCAGTGGTTGGGCAAAATGTTCAGCTCGTTTCATCAGTACCCAATACAATAGAATTAGCGAATAATGCATATGATTCGTCAATGGTTGTCCCTCAAGAGCCTCCACAGGCAGGCTTGGATATCGAACCCATTGATTTAGAAGAGGTTCAGAAAATCCAGGCTCGCATGCCAGCTGCTGATCCAAATGCGCCTGTGGGTTCAAATAAAAACCCGATTAGGATTATACAACAAGGAAACCAGTACATAACTACACAAGATGTATCCGACGAGCACTTGCAACAAATCATTCAAGTCCTAACAAATCAAGCATTACTGTCAAGCAGCGGTTCTCGACCAAGTGCAATTTATAATCGTCTCACAAATCGTCGCATTATATTTCGTGTAACACGTGCAAAGCGTCGTCATGATGATGGAAATACTGGAGCTACAGCATTAAGTGGCGAGAGAAATAGATCCAGCATTACTGTTAAAAGTGAGAAAAAAAGTCGAGCTGGTCGACCTATTGGACGGAAACGTAGAAAACGTGGTTCAGATGAGGAAGATCCTGACTTTGAACCTGAGGTGCCAGAAGAAGAAGTTTTACCATTTCCATTAATTAGACGGACATCTGCTTCTGGTCGTGTATCAAAGCCTCCAAAACACTTGGTAAGGGAATTTTCATGAAGTACTTTTGCATAGAGCTCTGCTTGTCAATTTTCAGTTTGTTAAACATTTTGAACTTGAATAATATGTAGGTAATGTTTAATACTACAGTTTCGTAAATTATTGCACCTATTTAACTTTTACTCAGTGGTTTAGACAGTCGAGTTTTCGACTATTAAATCACCACTCAAACTCTTATCTCTCTCTTAGACTTGAGTTACTCTCCCTCCCGAAATGCTCTCACATGGCTACGCGTATACAGCCACTGCCAGGGAAGTCCTACTCACTGCCTTCTCGTGGCGTTACTGTTGTTTACGAAGTTGAGAGGACGGGAGGCGAATGTCTGGCGCCTTAACCGGATTAGTGGATACGGAGGACCCACCTAGGGGGGTTGGTATACCCCGATTCCAAACCAGTGGTGCACATAGGCTCCAGTATCCTGAAGGGACAAATGGCGTATAAACTAATCGTTGGTTACCGGATACCACGGGACTTCATCTCCTTACGTTGCTTTACTGCCTTTTGGATTAGACCTCTCAGGTGAAGGCTCCGGGTGTGGCCTCTAAGAAAACCATCTGCTTTGGTTTGGGTACCCGGGCAGTATTCCAGTCCTCACGTAAATCGAATCATTTATGTGGCACATATCTATTTGTTACCTCCTCGTATCTATGTTTATGCGTTTAAATAATAAATAATAAAAATCAGGATCATTGCTTACTTAATGGTGGAGCGTTGGCTCAGTAGTTAAGGCTTCTGACTTTATGCTACCAAGCCTCAGATTCAGATACTGCTCCGCGTCAGTTTGGTAGAATGAGTAGTATCATTAACCTCTCATATTTAGAATATGATTCGTAGCCAAGTATTCAAATCTGTACCCATATTTGTGTTTCATCAAATACGATTAGTGGGTTTACCGCTTTGGTCGATAAAGCCCTTAATGAGCGATCAATGGCAACTGTTGCCTTCGGGTTATTTCCCATGCTTAGTAATCAATTGTATCCCGAATATTTTTTACGACATCCTGCATAGGTCATCTGTAGGTGTTTTTTGTATTTTCAGGTTAAGGACTATAAACATTTGCGTCTAGAAGATCTGACATCTAAACCGGAGTCAAGTGAGGAAGATGAGCACTCCGATGGAGGTTACTCTGATTATATTAACGATGGACTTTCGGATGAAGGTTGGTCCGAAGATGGCACGAATAGAAGTAAGTTTTTATGTACTATCAACATTTCTGCGGTTTCAGTTGTTACTTCGTTTTCACTATGAATTATTTAACACTACGATTATTACTATATTTTTTACTTGTTATTCTCTGTAATTTTAAATCTTAAGATATAAGCTCATAAATTTCAAGAATATCGAACATCTTTATGTGTTGGGATCGTTTAGATAAGTTATACCTTGATGATTGGTTTATTACTATTGATACACATAGTAAGTTTTGCAACCAGTAAATATACATCTGGCTTGTCTTTTTATAAGCTTTCGTCTGGTTAGATCGTACTAAATTCTTCGCTTTTATGTATTGTTTTGGTTTCAACATCATTAGCGTTTTTAATGAGACGTATTGCTATGGTCTTCCTGTCGTTGCGATGGTAGTTCTTCTTAATTATGATACTGCTTAGCATTGAGTTAGTTTTATGATATTTAAGAAATTATATCCTCATCAGAACTGCATAAATCGGTTTATATTAATTTTAGGTTTACGTTGGCCATGTCCCTTGTGCACTAAAGTGTTCACTTCTCGTGCTGGAGTCGCACGACATCGAAGTATTGCTCATGGACCAAACCGCGGTAGACCTCGGGGCCGTTGGGCCAATCCATACATGGCTAGTGTTCGACGCAGAGCCAAATTAAAAGAGGTAGTTTTTCATGTTATGCTGAATTAGTTTTTATTTCAGTTTATTATTTTCTAATCTTAAACGAGTTCCGAACTTTACCAGTCGTACTTGTACTCTTAAATTTCGTAAAAAATATCATTCAACCTACTATTTTCTTTCCGACTATCTCACTTCGTCCTTACTTTTGGTATTTATAATGGATCGAAAAGATTGAAGAGTAATTTTACTCTTTTTTCCCAAAAATGAAGTTCAGAATAACAAGCTGGAGGAGTTTATCCCATCTCTTATAAAATTGCGTTTAGTTGGTCGAAACACTGCTTGTTTTTTTGTAATGGTAATAAACTGAATGTTTATCACTTATTATTAGTTCAACGTTATTATACTTTACCACCTAAGGTTGTTTTGTATTACAGTCACTTGTCCGACTGTCCACCTGGAGAACCACACATCATCATCAACAATAAGATGATACATCAACACAGGATAAAATTTAGTCAAAAATTTTTTCTTCAAAATATAAAATGACTCCTTATAGCTGTTATCCGTTTTTTTGACTAAAGAAATCAAGTTTGATAAGTTTGACCATATAACTCAATGATTTGTCTGCTTAGAACAAGTTCGATAGGATGGGATCAGACTTTTGACCCAGTTTTTGTGAGTCATGTATATCACTTAAACCAATTCATCTACTTGTTAATTACTAATTCCATAACAGACAGTCAGTCATACACAACGTAGAACCTGGGACATATGTACATAATTTAATTTCATCTAACTTATTTTTTCTGAATGATTACAGGATCTATATGGAGTCCTTGAATTATCTGTCAGTGATAGGGTACTGAAAACTCTTACTTTATGAACTTAGTTTACTTTTAATTTCTACGGCTTGTTTGCATTTATCGCATACTGGGATCGTAAAAAGCTGACTGTTGTGTAATAAGTTTTTCTCAAATTTTATGTGAATCGTAAACCCCCCACTATACACGTATACTTTTGATTTATTTGCACAAACATTGTGTATTAAAGATTGCAACATACGGTTACTAATTTGTTCAAAGTACTGTAATATACTATCTGAAGTTCTGAAGCGTAAATTATTTCTTCATTGATCTCAACAACTTAGTTTGAATCGTTAACCGAGCTCAGATTCATGTTTTCTATTTCGAGCCATGCATTTTGTGTCAGAGTTAATTTTATTATGTGACTTCCAACTTCCGTTTCTGGGTCGGGTTTCGAACTTGCAACCCAGCAATTCACTACTCACTACTTTTAATATTGAACCACCTTATGATCGGAAACATTGCTGATATATTTTTTATCATAGTTTTATCCATTTACTTATTGGATGCTCAAATCAGACAGTCATTTCCTTATCACTGTGTAAGTAGGGCAAAAACTACACTTTCAAAATGAGCATTCGTCTAACATTATCAAGAGCTTTTCTCTCCTTTCATAGTGATAATCCGTTTAAAATATTCAGAATGTTAGATTTCGCATACTTGAAAATATGGGCGATGTGTCAGGTAAGATTGATCTTCGTATAACAGAATCCACAGCATCGTAAATCAATATGCACGACCTTTCACATCGTCTTCATGCCTGTTTAGTTGTTGCAAATTAGGTGTACATCTCCAGTAACCCGTTTTCGACTAGACCTTTCCATTGGCTTCCTGCTTTTCGCCATTCGGATCTTCTTGAGATTGCTTACTCCCAATGTTAATACCATTTCTATAAAGTTGTGCATCCTAAGTCGGATTTAGTGATATGAACGTGTTTTACAGCATACCTCGAAAAAACGAGCGTTTACCAAAACCAAAAACTGAGTGCCGAATTCAAGTTCTCATAGGCTTTTTTGTATATATCATTAGCTGGATTTTCTCATTGTAAGTGAACATAGTTGTTATAATCAATGTTTAATGATTCTGTATCCTTTGTTTTCTTTTTAAGGCTGTTTCTGAAGCTACAGATGATGATTTAATTGAATTTGTTGCACCACGTTTGTGTAAATTAATTAGTCCATGGGATCATCTTCTTTTACGTTCAGAACATGGTAACCCTCCTCTTCCTCAAGTGCCTCGTGTTGTTTTGGATTACTTGAGTTTAGTAGAACGTGCTAGATCATTTCTCTGCGATCAGTTAGAACCACGGACAGCAAAAAAATCAAAGCAGTCAAATGAAATGGATTCAGAAAATCGAAAAGGTGACAAGCAAATTCTGTTTGTTTATTCTTTTTACAAAATGCTCTTATTATCCGATGATGAATATAATGTGAACGGGGGAAATAATAAGATTTATTGAATTGTGATAAATAATTTTTCTGTTGCTTAATTAAATGTTTTAGTCGTGTGACTAAGTTGTTAATGATTAAAATCTCAAAATAGTATACCGATCGCCTTGCGTTTTTGTTATAGTAATTAATTCAAGCATTTCTATGATAATTTTGTCAACTCTGATCAATCATAACTATCCGCTTTAATTAAATTACATATAAATGATTAGCAGAACTCAGGTTTATAGCTAAGTAGTCTGTATTTGTGCTTTCTTGATCATGTAACTGTCCTTCATGGTTTTTAATAATATCAGAGTCATGCTAAGTAACAACTTCTAATTAGTGATTTACTTCAGGAGTAAAAATCTCCATATTGTTTGAGTTTCAAAGAAGTAAACTGAATTGCTCTAATCCACCGATTGATTAAAAACGTGTTCTGCTAAAACCGCATTTTAGTTGTTAACGAAACGACTAAAGTCAAATTCTTTTCTTTTCAGATGGTGAAGGCGATAACGATGAAACAAGTAGCTCTTCGAAGAATAAAGAAAATTGTTCTGATGTAAAATCACAAGAAAAATCCAATGCTCAATCGAATAGGGCTCACAATGATGATGAGGAAGATGATGCCGAGGAAGAAGACGATGATGATGATGGTGCAATCATAGTTAAGGTTAGTTACTCCTCCCTGAACTATTTTGTCTTTGCCCTACTAGGTAAAAGTATGATCAAGAGACTTCGCTTCCTGTTGTTATGTTAGGATTAAAGTTAAATATTTAATCCATTTTTTCTATAGGTGCTTAAGGTCTTGTAATGTAACTTTATTTAGTGAGTAAATGTTCTATGTTATGTATCTAGTTATGTATCACTAGTCACATGTTTCGCTGTAGCTTCAGACTCAACAATGTGTACTAATGTTTCCACACGTGACTCAACTCAAGACCATTATTTTACGAGTTAATTGCTATATCATTCATTTGATAGTTCCCATTTTCAAGTTCAGGTTAATTTGCCGTGTAAATATCCTCAGTGAGCATCCATTTCATTTTGAACTTTCTTTACGTTTCTTGTCATCGCTTCCTATTTGAAATGTGGAAAATTCATTACGAAACAAGTCACCATTTACCTATAGTTTATTATTTAATTAAATGGTCCAGTTAATCTACCTACAGTCTTTCATCATGATCTAGAGCGATGTTCTTGTTTGTGTGTAGTTAGTGAACAATCCAACTTGTGTTAGCAAGAATCACTGTAAGCTATTCGCTCTATTATCGAGTTATAATAATCTGTATTTTATTATCAGTACACAATATTCATTTATTTTAGCCTCATGATTATCGTGTTCTTCCAAACAAAATTTTGCTGAATCAACTCTTTTCATCGTTTGATGATTTTTAGAAATTTTGTTTTGTAAACTTTATTGGTGTTAGTATCTACTCGTAGAATGTTTTCCGCCCCTAAATTACTGTCTATTTTAATCATTGCAACTGTATCCACTAAAAAAAACAGTGTTTTCATTATTCTGTGTAAAATGGTAAACATGAAATATTGTTGAATCTTAGATATTTTTACGATGTCTCGTGATAGGGAATAACAACAGTATATGTTTTGACTCAGTTTTTTTCCTTAAAAACACCAACTAGCAATCACAAGTTTCTCAGTAAACATATATCGGTTAATTATCTCGTAACGTTTATTACATTTAAATATTTGTTTTATCTGTTAGTATTTCTGTAGGTCATTTAGTATCCAAATATATGAAATGTTTTTAGTAACCTCCCTCAAGTTATTTTAAAACTGAACAACTATGGTCTGTCAGTTATACAAATAATGTTTCGTTTATTCCTAAGATTTTTTTGAAGATCTAAGTAACTTATTTACTTGTAATAATTTCCAGTACTTTATTGCTTGTACATAGGTGGATACAGAGGAACAGTCTGCTGCCTTAGGTCTACCTTGTGGTAAATACATCGTGAAAGAACCATTACGTGAAGAATACCTGCCTAGGCGTTTCCGATCAATATTGGCAGCTCAAAGAGCAAATGCAGCAGCAGCGGCTGCATCTGATTCTGATAAGGGTAGTGTCGGACATCAGAAACGTGCTGTGGTTGCCATGGAGACAGCTGAGGATGATGAGGTCGATGCAACTTTGCGCAGTGACATTGCCTCTACAGAAGACTCAGTTCAACACTTTGGCGATGCTGCTGTTTCAAATCAAACTGATAATAATTCTCAAAATATTGTGTCATTGGGCGAGGAGTTAGTAAGTAAAATTTGATATCCACGATTTTTTTCAAGTATTGTACTTTTTATGCATCCACGTTATAGATTTGAGCTGCTCTTTGTTGACGGAAATTCGTTCAGATAAATAGCACCTTCAGATTTCACAAGAAATGCCTCATCTATACAAATCTAAGTTACGTTAGTGTATGTCGCAACATTTTTCAAATGTTTAACGGTAGCCTGATGAGTTAAGCACTCAATTGTGATTCTGGTTTCTAATGCTGCTCAACCTACATCAAATTCCTCGTCTGACTAGTATCGCTAACAACCAAATGAAACTGTGGCTCACTCCAAGGATATGAACATGTTCTTGGTTAAGGAGTTTTGTTAATTGGTTTAATAATCTGTTATATTTTTAGTTGAAAGTATTGATTATCTCTCCAGTACATCAAACGACAGTCAAACTGTATGTATCAAGTCATTAAATACTTAGTGGATTTTGCTGTTCATATATCGGTTATGATATTTAATTTCTATAGCTTAAAAAGAAATATTCAGGAATGTCGTTTCATTTAAAATGTTTTTCGTAATACCTAGGAATGAAACAAGTGATTTAAGACGCCTTTTTATAAATGTATATATGCTTTTAGAGTTTTATCTGTTTGGTGTAGCGTGTTCTTAAAGATAATGTCCAGTTTCGGAAAAAAGCTTTTTATTATAGGGAATTTAGAAAGTATGCGTAACGTTTGTAGTGGTACTTATTTTTTAAGGGAGAATTTACATTTCTCTGTATAGTGATACTAGAATCGTAGTTTTCACCAACCGAAAATTCAGTTCTTCACATTTACCTTGCTTACACGTTTACTAGCATGTATATCCACATTATGGTGCTCTGTTCAAACACTACGAATCATTTTTTAAATTCTAGATTATAATCATAGCTGTAGTTAAAACTGTGTTATGATAATTACTAACGATAGGAGCGTTTAATAAACTATAGATGAGACGTAGCTTTGTTTTAATTCAACTTAAAACTTAGTTGTGAATTCGTGGGTGGTTTTAGTTTTCCTTGTTTTATTTATTCAAAACACTTAAATTTTGACAAACTAGAATACTGGCGCTGCGCCGCACAAATGAAGTGATATTTGGAGAAAATTAAGGATAGGGAGAAGTATTTTGCGAAACAAATCTATCATCCCTTTATAGGTTTGTTTCAGTCTGTTTGAAAATACAGACAAAATAATTTCCATGTGAATCTTCTAGTCAGTTATTGTGGTTCAACTCCACTTAACCTGGGACAAGATTCATCTTTTGGAGTGTATACAGCAGTAAAATCCTGAGGTGTTGATAAATATCTCAGAAAGAAATTACCAATTTATATTTCAAAAAATATCAATAAAAGTGCTTTTCATCGCCTGTTCATTGAACAGTTTTACTATTTCTGTTTCCTCTCTAGCTTCTCCTTCCCGAGGGGGGTTTAGGTTGTCCAGTACCTGATGAATGGCTTACCAGCGGTGCTTTCCTCACAGTCCTAACAGAGAATGGTCAAACTAGTGATTTGGTTATGGAAGCCGCCACTGGTCGTCTATTTCATCGCCCCACAGGTCATCTTGTCAGTTTAGCTGATTCTCAACAAGCAAATCAGTCAGAAGTCGATTTTCAGGGTGAAAGTTATGAATACGAATCAACCAATGCTGAACAAAAAACTAAGGCAGTAACTGCTCCTAAACAGCCAAGTTCAGACAGACGCAAAGGTGCATCTTCGAAGTCAAAAGCGCCATCAAAATCTCAAACCAATGAAGAATCTGAAATTAACAATGATGATATCTTATCACAACAAGAACAAATACTTGCTCAACTGGCTGAAAATGGAGATGTGGTTGATCTCAACACCCTTTTTCCTGGTGTATCTGTTACAGAAGTATCACCTGGTGTATGTTTGGTTACTAAACCAAATGGAGACCGTTTTAATGTAAGTTATACAAACCACATTGACTGTTGCCTCGATGTTTTAAAGAGAATACTTATATTACCTTCTGTAACTTATTAATTCCATTAGAAGTTCACTTTCTAGCCTCCGTAGTGTAAATGTTACACGTGTGACTTCTAGATCTTTGCACGTTTCAACCTTTAAATTTTACCCTTCGTCCCGATATTTTCTTGAAATTTTTAATTTTATAGTCGTAAAGGTACTGTCATTCTAGTATATGACACAAATACATTGATTTAACTTTCTACGTTACTCAACATCCCATAGATAGCTAGCTAACAAAGGATATAAATTGACTGATTGATAATCACTATGTCATTTGATAAAAAGAGAATTAATATGAAATAAACTTGTGTAAGTGGCCAAACTAGGAGCAGAAATTGAATAGCAAAACATTATTTGTATGTGACTCAGGATTTAGTAAATTTCCATCGTTCATCGGTTTGATCTCTTATGTGAGTTCCTCAACCATCAGTACATCTCAATAGACGCTTATATTTCGTTTACTTAACAGTCAATGACTATGTTGGCGTCGTATTCTGTTGTTACAGTATGAGAATGTTATTCACATTCTCTAGTCATTGCTGTCAATTCAGATGAAAGATTATGTTGAGGGGTTGAGTTAGCACAAATAATCAAGTACCCATTATCTCCTCATATCGCTTATTTTTGACACCTTATTAGTATTCTATATAATAAAGATTATCACATAGATCTAATAATCTTTGTCTTATTACTGTATTCAAATTTATCAAAGGGACTAATCGCTTCAAATAGTCTAGTGAACTGTTGAGATTTGTATTTCGCTTGTGTTATAATTTCTCTTATTACGACCTAGCTATTTCTATTGCTTAGTATTCTTGGACACCGATTCACTCGACAAGTCCCCAAATCAACACGGTTGAACAGGAAAGAAATTATATCCCAAATAACAAGGGTAGATGGAAGTAAGAAGCACAATAAGAGAAACGTTTGTATATTTATAGTTTTTACATGGGAAGATTCTAGAGTCTTCTCTAAGTACCGACTAGCGCTGATTAGATAAGAAACAGCCAATCGGCATCCACCAACACATTCACTCACGGAACATGCTTTAATCCGATCTATGTCCTGCTAACAGCATGTATCCAATTATATCTGGGTTAACAGAAAGTAGTCAGCTGATATTGTCGTAAACACGCATGCGTCCGTTTAAACGTTTTGTAACTTTCAAAAAATTAGCGTACATCCAATTTTTTTCTTGAAGGACGTGACTGTAATTTAGGTTGAATGTCACTTTGAATACTTCCCAATGATCTATCTGTCGCTTAAATTACGGATCACTACACTTATTTCCAAGCATATTCTACCCCTAATATCATTCATGTATCATCTTCAAGTGTAAAAATGTATGTAATGTCAACAAAAACAAAAACCGAGTCTCAGTCCTCACACTAGTTAGCACAGCGTACCTGTTTTTTTCTGTTGGTCACACTTTACTTCATAAATATGTTGTAATAAAATTTGGTTAATTCAAAACTGTGTTTAATTTCAAAACTACTCAGGTTGAGCATGGTGGCGAAGGAATAACTTTGGAAACGTTACAAGCTATCTTGCAAATGGATGCATAGTTGATTTTTGCGGGCGTTGAAAAACTGTTAGTCTCTTGTAAATAGACAATCGGTCTGTTTTTTGATTCACTGAAATCCCATGCTCACTCTCACAAATCTCAATGTTAACCTATTCATTTCTCACGAATATTTATTATGTATACTTAGATTCATGTGTATTTAAACTAATATCCCATTTTCCACATGTACAAAAGATTACTCACTTCCTGCTGTTTGTAAGGGTTTTTCCATTGATATATATGAGGTAATCTGCTCTTTATTCCAAACATTATATCTTGGATTCATTTATATGTGTATTTGTACCATTCTCTGTACTATTTCCTATAAACTATGTTAGTTACTATGTTGTCAGTATTATTGGGCTGTTTATCATTTTCACGCTACTGATCAACATTGACTCGTTTCTCAGTCAAACTTTTAAAGTTTGTCTTGGGAAAATAATGATACGTATTGTGGGAATACTTCATCTTTAGGCTGAAATTTATCATATAGTTATTTCACTAGTTCTTTCCTCTTGTTCCTTATTAAGGTGTTGGATTAATTTCTGAAATTCAGGATTGTGAGTTTGGTTGAGAAGATTGTGATTGATCGGGACATATGGTTCATGAGTGTTTATATGACTGCTCACTACAAATCATAGGTTCTACTCGTTCCGGCATCATGTTGCGATTTATTTGTATAAGTCCATTAGTGCTCACACCAATGGTGCGTAATAACATTGATTGATCTAACAATCTGCCCAATCAGAACTCGAAATAAACCACTTTTATTACTTGTGTTACCGTGCATGTTGTTACTTGCACCAAATGTAAGATAACAAGGAAGAAATCTGTGCAGCTTTGTAGTTATAAATCAAGTGCGGCAAGGGGTAAACTAACATTTGGTGAGTTAACTGGGTCGTCACGGAAAGGGCAGTGCGAGTGTACTGTGAACCAGTTATCAGTTCTCATAAAAGGTATTGAAACACGAAGTTCAGCGAAGGGATCTCTTTTCAACGAATTTATTATAAAGCTGTACAATCGTATATATATGTACATTCTTTGTTTTTTGTAAAAGTACTAATTCCGTGAGGAAATGTGAACACAGTTAACCATGACGTAATAATATAAGATTGTACAGCTCGATAATAAATTCGTTGAAAAGAGATCCCTTCGCTGGACTTCGTGTTTTAATTTTAATGTTCAAATGGGAATTATCTGTCAATAAAATGTATGGTTTTCCAGGCAGTGGGTTTTAACAATCTACCTTCAAATATTCGTCAATTTGTAACGTCCGTTTTGGTATTATACACCACAAAGCTGTCATCGGAATTAACTCTTAGGTCATGTGATTCACTCCTGGCATATGTTGCGCAGTGATTCCTGTGATGTTTGCCTGTAATCATGGTTATCAGTTACATTGGGGACTCTAAAGATATGCATATGGTTTCTTCGATATGCAGGTATTTTCCCTCATACTAGTGCAAAGAAATTAGTATGGGTGTTGGGACATCATTCGGCGCTTACACAAGTTAAATACAGAAGATACAACTTCCGTTTAGTGTGTTCTGACTGAATAATTTACGGAATTGGTTTCCCTACAAGTAGTTCAGCTTCCATTATTCCCTGTAGGATAGTCGCACGAGCAAATAAACACGACCAGCATGTGCATATCAGATTATAATTCCTTTAGTTGTGCAACTTTAATTATATGAGACTTGTTGAAATGATCGTTCAAAAGTTGTGTTAGTAACGCGACCTATATAAATGTTCTACAGCTTATCATTGTAGCGCAGACGATGTTACTCTGTGAAACATCCTCACCATACTTGATCCCAGAAGCAGCGAGTGATAACACAAAATTAATTTAAATACGACCAATAAAAATGTGTGAGTGATCATTGTTGGACGAATTTTTTGCCAATCAAACTTATGGCTTCTATACTGCAGCTTTGTTTGCAACCACTTTACCCTTATTAACTGAAGTTAAAGTCGAGTGAGGACTTGCAATGTTGAGGAGGTAGTGCCGTTTCACCATCGCATGATTGTTCAGGCTGAATATACGATTGAGGGGTTTACGCTAGATAACAAGTGGAGGTGAACCATGACAAGTTACTAGGATTGTGTGGTCCGGTCATGTAGACTTGATTATTCTGTATCACGTCTTCATTTTCTATCGAATAAACTAAGGTTATTTACTTAAAACAGGTTTGTACAAAGCTGTGTTTCGACTGTTAAAATATATCGATTAAGATGTCAAATCGTATAGGTTGGGGTGTCACATCGTGGGAAACCGGCTGCATTATAATGAGCCTATTCGTTTAGTAGCAGAAAATTCAACAATATCGAAAAGTACTTTTAAATGTAACTGCCACAGTCAATATGCGAACTTCTGATATCGTAGAATAGTTTAAACATGTAACTTCGATCAATTCGGGATATCGTATATACATTTTTTTATCTCGATTTCAAGTGACTGTTTATCGTTCGACATGGTTAACTCTGCTGACCACTGTTTATTCTGGTAACTTGCCAAATATGCGTTATTGGAGCTAACATTCTTCATCTAGGAAACTTAAAAGACCACACAGAGGGATTCAGCAAAAGTTTTTGCACACAGCAACTATCAAACACATATGAGAAGGAAATACTTGTACTCAATACAAATAAATGACAAACAGTTTGCCGGAAAATCCTCGCTAGAAATATAGTATAAAACTGAATTATCTTAGTTGATTGATATTCGCTTTTAAAATTGATGTCAACGTGATAATGAGAACTCCAGAGCACTTTGAGTTGATAAACGTCACGGTTCGGATAAAGTAAAAAGTGACCTAAAATATGTACAGCAACATCAATAACATATGACCTGTTTCGCAACCGACAAAACTGACAGAAGTCAAAGTGAGGACTTGGGTAATGAAATTGGTAATATATAATGACGTTGCGAGCGATGTATGCCTTACAACTGATGAATATAAATTAAAGAAATTGAATAACAATATTGTTACGCACAATGTGTCCGTGGAACCAATCAGATGTCACTGAGCCCTAGCAAAATCACCTGGCAGTTCAGTCCCTGTTTGTCGAACGGTTGGTCGATCCCTGTTAGGGTCAAGGACAACTAGCACGCATCAATTAATTGCACTCCACGAACTGACTCACACGGTGGTGGTCTCAAATTCTTCCTTGTACCTACTTTCGCTAACACGTTTCCGTAACAATGTCTTTTGTGTTATACGGGTTTCGTAGCAGCAATAGTACCCTGATAAGTCGAGGGTGTAATTCAGGTTGTGTGCTGAATGTGAGGAGTGACTTCAAAGCAAAGTGGTCCGTTGCACCATTCCCGTCTAAGTCGAGTGGGCCCCCAATCATTCGACATAAATCATCTACGTTAGTGATCTACATGTCTCAAAAACAACGAAGAATTCAGTCCTAAAAAGGTTATGAATCTTATTAGATTCTTCTGTCTCTGTAATACACTAGTGATGAAAGTGAAAAGTAATGTTCTAATTGATTTACTTCATCCATTGTTTTACACATCATCACCTGGTAGCTTGCAGTACAGTAAGATAAAATTCAGGTTATATGTTTTTAAAAAAAATATAAATTAGTGTCTGTTAAGTTCATTGAAAGTGGATGCAAATTACTCACATCCAAGCGACTAACGTGCTATCTCCATTCGTACATTTACTTGATTCGAACAAAACGAAAAGAGTTATCATCAATGTTTCGACAATGTTTTCGTAGTATGTTCTTATGGTGTGTAATAGTTAGGAGTATTTGAATTATAGTATGAACTAAGAATCCCAGAAATAACGTAATCGGGTCAAGAAGTACTCGATAATCACAAATGAATATACTGTATTTAGAATTCGAAATCAAGCACTCAGCAAGTACAAAGAGATCATCAGTTCATTCAAACACCACATCCGCCACAGCTTAAATTAGAGTTTAAGTGTTTGTAATTGATTCTACGTCTTCTTACGTTCATCCTGTATCTGTTTCCGGGATTGGGTAATCAACATGTCGGTTGTGTACTGAAACAGCTGCTACCTAGAATTTGAACCATAGACTTTTAGACTATCCTCCCCCACTAAATAATGTTGGATCTTTATACCCCCGATTTATGAAAAATGCGGCTTCATTTAAAACATATTCCTTACATTGACTAGCAAACATGAGAAGTGACTTCGTGATGAGGATAAACAACAGTTAATATGGAATCATCTGAATTGTAATCAAAATCAAGCTCATTTAGTACTCGTGCTTCACACTGAACAAGTCTCTCACAAAAAACAAATGCATTATGAGGACAAATAATATTTGATATGACATCAAGATTTGACTCTTCTGAAATAGTTTCCTCGAATTTATTACGTATGTCATTGCAGAGCAAAGGATCATTAGAAAAATCACCATCTATCAAAACTACATCAGGTTTTTGATCATGGCTACGTTCATTCAACATATTTTCCTCAGATTTGCAAAGAATTTCGTCAGAAATAAGTGAATCATTAGGAAAAACCATATCTGGTATAATAACATGAGAAATCTGATAAGTTGATTGATTAGAAACTGTTGTCTCGCAAAGATTATGAGTTCCACTTAATTCTGAACTGCTCTATGACTCCACGCTGTCTTTTGAAATCGTTGATAAGGATAAATGATCATTAGGAACACTGGACTTAATGGAATCAGAATTACGAGACTTAATATTCGTTGCAGCAAGATGAACAGTAGTGTTACAAACGGACTGAATGTGTCCAATGTCACCACACTTAAAGCACTTAGAATTACGAGATTTACATGAATTAAAAGAGTGGAACCTCCCACAGGACAAGCATTGACAAAACTTGTGCCCATCTTCGTGAACCGCATCTCAACTCCCCAATGAATTATCTGCATAACCTTCAGTAGGCGCTGCGTTGGGGTGACGTAATGTAGTAATTTTTTATATCCTTGTGAATCATTTTACGAAATCTCCCTTTACTGAAATCGAAATTTGTATACTTAACATAGTTTAGTAGTAGTTCCTTGAGAATTGTATAAGAAAGCGAAATGGGCTTTTCCAGTAAAGCCAGAGTTTTTAATAAGCTATATGCTTCTTTTCCGATGAATGTGAGGAAATGTACTACAATATTAACATCCTCATCATCTTCCTTGGCCATAGCCCAAATTTCGGAACTTTCAAAGTAATCCTCAAAGGCATCAAAACCTGAATGTATATCCAACAATTCCATCACAGGCTCCATTGCGACGCCAATGTGATAATTAGGAGTATTTGAATTAAAGTATGAACTAAGAATCCCGGAAATCGCTGTGCAATTAGTGTATTGGTAAATAAATCTTCAAACGCGATAGCTCTGTAAGTATGCTAACCATATTAGGTTTAATGAGTTCAATTAGCTGAAAGCACTCGGCCATGCATCCGCACCAGATTGCGAGGAGGAACTTCTGCAATCTTTAGCCAGTTTAGATCAGTCGTTTCTCGATATATTGATAGCCTATCAAATATATTTTCGAATATCCTCGCTTCTGACTTTTGATATCACTGGGTGGGCACGATTCATTTATGGAAGGTGTTACTGGTCGAAGTGTTGTCAAAGTGGAAATGCTTGTGGCGTCTTCAAGAGGACAGTTTGAAGCGTAAATATTCATAAACTTCTGGAAAGACGGATGACTCGCAAGTAATTCATGTACTCGGATTCATTGGTCGTAACAGTTAATCCCTTTGTAATCAAGCGGAGTATATTTAGGAATGCACAAATTCTCCATTCACTGATCACCATTTGTTCAGGTCGACTACTAGGATGTAGCAATTGAATAAGTACATGATTAATTCAACCAAACAATGCTTACAAAAACACAGTTCAAGTTTGTGAACTTCGGTATACTTGAACTGAAACGAAAATGCAATCTTGAATGTGTACAAATACAATCTCTTTCAATAGTCATTTTATGTCATCTATATACAAATAATAAATAAAAATGTTCTCATCTCTATCTGTTAATCGTTATAATGAAGATGTCTTATCGTTATTTTTTGTGTAATTTTGTAAAATTTATAAGCTGGTTATCTGTTTTACAATCTCAGATTGAGTGTGGCTTTTTCATGGAGTTTATATGCTATAGAAACATCTTGAAAGTAGCCTAGCAACCAAGGTCAATGAAGATAGACAATCTCACTTAACACGTCACTTTGGCGGGAGTAAGATGTCGGAACTAAGTAGAGCAGAGAAAATAGCGGCTGCTAAGAAAAAGGTGTGCTTACTGACATACAACTATACTATTGCAGAATATTTTTATTTTGTTGGTTGGTTTTGACATTTCGATTTCTCTACGCAAAAATTTAATTGCAAGGCGTGTTCGGTCTAAGAAAAAATCGTGAGATCATCTATCCAAATTTAAGTAGCAGTTTTCCTGTGATATGTAGGGGTCCAGGCACTTTCAATACTGGGGATTTGTGTTTATCGTGCGGGTACAGATCGCTAATGTGTTTGTTACCAAGTCAACGAAGGAATATCTGCGTATTGTTTTTATCAAAAAGTGTATAGTGTCATCATAAATCCGTTAAAATACTTATCCTGTGTTTTTTTCGTGATCATCTGTATCAGTCAAAATTACATTGTAATTAGGTGGTGGCTGAAATTAGATAATGCATAAAGTTACCGATTTTGAAGAAAACGGTTTGTTCTATCTGTCATTTTCCAATTGTTAGGTATTTGCGGCCCTGTTTGTAGGTTTATCAGCTCAATGTAAAAATTTGCTTTTAAGATCGTTATATGCTGAGTCATTTTGCTTTACATGAGATACGTCGATCTATGGTCAAACACTAACAACTTTACACATTTCCCAATTACGAAGGACGTTCCACAATATGATCCACTGTCATGTAGTGCACTAAACCTTCCATGTGATAGTTTTAAATACCTGATACCAAAAATTAGGTCTTTAACTCTCATCTTTCGACACATCTGTTCAAAACGTCGGAATAAATTGCAGTTGTGTCACTAGGCCTTACTATCATTTAAATGGAATCAAACTAGCTTTGTAATTCGTTGTTTTCAGTGGTCTCATGTCGTACATAGCGGAAACTCAAGTTTCTCTGAATAGTGCTTTCTATTTATAGTACTAATAAAGCCATATTGTGTTGCGTTTACTGTCGTAAAATAAAAGTGGTTTAGACACTCAGATGTTTCTCACTTCAATATATGACATTGTATTAAGTTTCAAACTTAACGTAGGCAGAAAGCATAAATTCTCCTAATTGGACGTAACAGGTATTTTTGGTTTATTTCATATAAGATATAAGATTTATATAACGTAAATATGCCAATGGGGGTTTCGTGGGATTGATAGATCATCGTGTTTAGATTTCTTGAGAACTATTATCAAGCTTCTCCTACTCACACATACATGATACATCTGCTTTCCGAGACAGTTTTTAATTCTGAACCTCGAACAACTACAATTTCAAATTGACATTATCTTCTCACTTTTACGTGGTAGATGAACTACACATATGCTAATATTATGAATTGATTTTTTGCCCTACATCACATTTTTTCCTATACATCTTTTTTAATAGCTAAGAGAATTCCAAGCTTCCAAGGCTAACAAACAGTCAAATGAATCATATGTCAACCAAAACCATGGTTCCAGCGTTCCGGGGACTGGGGGCTATCGAGTAAGTAATGGGAAAGGTTTTAATTCGGACCGTGATTTGTTTCTAAAGATCAGTTACTGAAAAGCTTTAGAGTTGAGATGCATATCTTCTAAGGCTCACTGAGAAATAGTTGTCTTCGGCTTCAATGTATTTCATCATCCTATGTAAATGTACACCCATCAATTCACTTGTACAGTTGACCTTTTCATGTCTAATTCCCATTTACAAATGTGTAGCTACACTTGTTATCATTCGTAGACGAATGGATAAAATTGTTTTTACAATAGGTAAACTTCGTAGAAATCAGACAAGGCTCTAAACCTTTGGTTTCAAGTTTGAAACTTTGTCGCAGGTAGCTTAAGCAACTTGGTTAACAAAATCAACTTTGGGTATGGTTTTCAACTAACTGATGGTATTTTATACTTGGCCCTTAGTCTCGTTTTCAGTTAGTTTGTTGTCATATAGCGTTGATATATTGGATAAAACTAGATGAAGCCTAAAAATAATTTCTATGTGAAATGTTTAGTAACTTTTAGCTTCTGCATAAAGTTATTAAGTTCGCTAAGTTGTACATCTAAGGTCATTAATTATAGTTTATGTCTTAAATATCTTTTTTGAGTTATTATTTATCCTAAATACTACCTTGACTCGTTTGATTTTTCTTTTCCAGACCAACATTTTATCGCAACAAGAAGATAATCACTGCATGTAAGCATTTTTCGGTACTCATTTGTTTAGGTGCATAACTTTCCAAAATTGGTCATACTAGCATGTGCGCCGGTACTAATTAAACATTTATATCCTGTACAATAAACCGTACTATATAGAATACATAATTCATCCTTTTAACTCGGTGTCTAGCATCAATCTGCGGTGTATGTATGTAAAACAAACTGATTGAATTTTCAAAAATTATCCCATCTAAACCAGTAAAACCTTATGTAAAACTGAATGAGTAAATGGAGGAACTATTTTCATACAAAGGTAAAGAAACTGTGGTTAATATTGTATGAATCTCTCCCTATATGTACTAGTATGTGTGACATGCATAAATCGCACAACCTATTCATACTACCCCATATACTGATTGCGAATTGATCATATTTTGTTTAATTCGAATAACTACTGATTGACTCTTTCACTATATGTATGAATTCGGTTTCTACAGATTACCCGTTGATAATTGTCAGTCCATTCAACTTGAGCAGAAGCAAAAATATCAACACGGATTTAATTTATCAAATGTAAATATCAATGAAAATTATGCGAATGCTTCAATATATCAACCACAATCTCCATCGAGTGTGACAGTACCACAGAATAATGATAATGCAGTTATATCACTTGCTGACTATTTTAATAATTCTACTCATTATTACCATCCCCCACCGCTTCAATCTCTTCCTAATAATAATACTAATGATAACCATTCCGTTTCTTATAGTGAAAATGGTCAATGTGTTTTACATGACTTGACAGTTCATTCGAATCTCACTGATAAACATCAGTTTGTTGTTTCGTTTCCTACTTCATTGTCATCTGCATTTGAAATACCTAATAGGAATGCAAATCAAACTGTACCAATGACTGACAATACAGAGTACCTCAGTTATTCTATGTATAATAATAATAATAATAATAATAACGATAATAATAGTAATATACCTGTTAATATCGAATTTAGCAAGCAGCAGAGCGAATCGAATTCTAACGATTCCACTGTTTTTCCAACATCATATTATCATCTTTCTTCTGAGTCTGCTGCCATTCATAATGTAAATAATTCTAATCAAGAAAATAATACACTTGTACAGTTATCTTATCCACAATATGATGGTGATGAAGAAGAGAAAGAAGTGGTGAACGATATGTAAGTTGTATGTGTTTTCCGTTTTTTTCTCCGGTTTTACATTTTCTGGTCCAGTTGGTTTGATATTCCATTTACCAGGTTCAGATTAATTTTCCTGGTTTTGAACCACACTGATTGTATGGAGCCTCTAAGTTACCGTGCCACATTTCCAGGCTAGTTGCATCATATTGATCAACATTTTTCTTTTCCTTGCTGTAAACAAATATATATGGCGACTACAACAGTTGATTTTCATTCACTTGGTTGCAGTTCGAACCCTGGCTGATCTGCTTAGTTTTGAGCACCCGAGTAGTGTCAATGCCACTACTTACGGGAAAAATGTAACACGAAGCCAAATATACCTGGTTTACCTAATAAATGCGCAAATTACGGTCATGTAAACTTTTTAAATAAAGAAATTCGAGGTACATTAAAATTATCTCACAAATATTTCGCGTCTGTTGTTATTATACTTATCCTGTCTCCATTTCAGTCAATTAAAACATTCCTAGGAATCCTCAAAAATCATCCTCTCCAACCATTGTTCTGCATTTTTGCACTTCCGTATCGCATCAGTGCAATCTCTACCCAACCGTTTTGGATTGTACAGACAAAGAGGAATCATAGAATGCTATGTGTAAGGGCTAGAAATCTTTATCTATGGTAGTGGAGTTATGCACCAGCAACTCGCGGCGAATCATTTTTGAATTTCCAGCTATATATTCGCCTATTTATTTAATAGATCTTGTAGATATGAAGAAAGTGCACCTCATTAAATAGTTGTTGAATAGAGATTAATCACCAAAGTCATCCTGACTGAATGTCGTGACCTTTTAGATATAATGGGACCGTTTGTTTGTTTAATGATGTCCATACGTAACAACAAAAAATAACGCAGTTTCTTTACGTGTTGGCCACATACGATATATGGGTTTTTCGTTTATTAGGTTCAATTGACTGTTGTGTTATTTTAGAATAAGGGAATCCTTTAACTTGGACTTCACCACTGTTGTTTACTGTTTAAACGAAAAACAGAACATGACGAAACAGTTGTACATTATTCTTAGTTTCTCAATAATTGATGGTTGTTGCTGTTTGATAACTTACAATTTATCAGTATGGTTCCCAATAAAATATTAAGATTAAGAAACTATAATTGTTGATACAGGCGTTACGACGGTCTTCGATACTATTTATTTAAACACATTTGTACAAGGAGGCACCAAATATATATGCGCCACACAAATCATTAGTCTTTCAGATTAAATGTACTGGGTTATTGTTTTAAGTTGTGAAATTTTAATAAAAGACATAAAATACCTACCTGAATCAATAATGGTCAGCTTAGAATTTATTGTTAATTATTCATTGGGATTTAACCGAATCAATAAAAACAATATTGTATCAGATAATATATGTTAGTGTTTGATGTGATCCATTTTCTTTGTCTTGTATTTAAGTTTGTACAAACTCTAATGTTTAAAGCATATTTGATCATGCATCCAATGTATTTATTTATTTATTTGAACACATAATTATTGGTACAAGAGAGCGCCAATATATATGCGCCACACAAAACAATGAGAATTCGTAAAGAAAAAAAAGGTAAGGAGCATGAGAAAAAAGAGAATAATAACGAAGAGGTTGGTGTAAGGTAGTGTAGTAATAATAATAGTAATAATGAGGGAACGGAAAGGTACAATCAGAAGAAATCTTTCAGTTAAGGGAGACACAACCACTTTTTATGAAGAAAGTAAAAGAAGGTTACAGCAGGATCGCCACTGGCTTCTATTCTGAGCCATATCTGATAACGTCTCTAGCCACTGTGTAGCACCATCTCTCGGACCCCAACCAGGGAGTCGTGAAGGACCGACAGAAGCCAGTCCTTTGCAGCCTTCATACCACGACACCATGTCATGCACTGACCATCTCTCCGTTTCTTCCAACCAGTCCCAGAGTCGGCAAATAATGCACGACGTGGAATTCTCTGGGACGACATTCGGAGAACATGTCCAAGCCACTGAAGTCGGTGTTTCAAGATGGTGACACCGATTGCATTATCATCTATGTGCTCGATCACACGATGCCAAACCTCTGCATTACTACTGACATGGTGTTGCCATTGGATGTCAGCAATCCTTCGGAGACAGCGATGATCGAACACAGAGAGTCGTCTAACGTCCTCAACTCGGAGAGACCAGGTTTCACAAGCATAGAGCAAAACTGCTCTCACCGACGCGTTGTAGATCCGACCTTTTACAGCCAGACTGACATCACGAAGGCGCCAAAGGTGGCCCAGATTGGCATAAGCCGCTCTGGCTTTCACTATACGTGCATTGATCTCATCACTCACACCCCCACCAACACTTATGCAGCTACCCAGATACACGAACTTCTCGACTATTTCTATCTGCTCACCATCCAGGGTGAGTACAGGATTGGAATCCTGCCAGTTGTGTAGAAGTACTTTGCACTTCGAAGGTGCAAAGCACATACCATACCTACGGACATTGATTGCCAACTGATTAAGTGCGGATTGCATGCCTTGGGCATTATCGCACAGTAAGACAATATCGTCCGCATACTCAAGGTCGAGAAGTCTTTCTCCAGGCAACAGATCCACACCACCATTACTTACATCCATCAGAGCTGTTTCCAGAATGTCATCGATGTCAAAGTTGAAGAGGAATGGTGAGATTGGGCAACCCTGCCTAACCCCACTGCTCGAATGGAACAATGGAGAGAGGTGGTTGTATGCCTGAGGTGTTTGTATTAGGGCTTTTAGGATGTTAATAAACTTCTCAGGCACACCTTTCTTCAATAGACAATCCCAGAGAACAGTCCTATCCAACGAATCGAAAGCAGCCCTGATGTCAAAAAACACTACGATTGTTGGCCTTTGAAAAGTATGGCGGTGTTCTAACATTTGGTGGAGGATGAAGATATGATCAATACATCCTCGACCAGAACGAAACCCAGCCTGCTCCTCGCGAGTCAATCTTTCTCGGGTTTTGAACAACCTACGAAGTATGACGGAAGCCAATAGCTTGGACCCAATCGGAAGTAAACTTATCCCCCGATAGTTGTTACAGGAACGACGTGAACCCTTTTTAAAGATAGGGACAACTACTGACTCATTCCATGACATTGGTACACTCTCTAGTTCCCAGACTTTTGTAAACAACGTCGTCAATTCCTTAGTCAAAAAGTCACCACCATCTTTAAAAAGAGCCGGAGGTAAGTCATCTGGGCCAGGTGATTTGTAACGCTTCAAGAGTTGGAGTTCCTTGCGGACTTCCGCCTCATTTGGTGGATCAGTCGTCACCGGCCATGGAGGGCAGGACAGTCTGACCGATGTTGCCGGAGCAGCAGGCCAGTTGAAATGCCCTTCGAAAAATTCTGCCCATCGTCCAAGACGTCGATGGATGTTAGTGATTGGCATTCCATCATCCCCGTAGATTGTTTCGCTCACACCAGACTTCTTGCTGCCAGTTGCTCGGATGAGTTGGAAGAGTTTCCGGTAGTTACCAGATGCAACTGCTGCTTCCAGCTCATTAGCACGCTTCGACCACCAGGCTTCTCGGTCCTTACGCAAGCTTTGCCTAATTTCCTTACGTAACATCCTTCGTTTGTGGTCAAACTCACGGTCACCCGGAGTAGACCGACGTGCTTCAATGAGTTGTAAGGAGCCTGAAGAAACCCAGTTCATCCAATGTCCCATAGCATTAAGAACCCCAGTATAGACCCGAGTTCGATACAAGAAGTTTTCTTGAATGATGTTTATTTTTATTAATTCCCAAGTGTTTGAAGCTTCCCGTTGTTGATATTAAGCACTATATCATGGTCAGTCTCTTTTGGCATATGTAAAGCGCATATATGAAGCACCACAAATCACTAGGCCTTATATAACGTACCCCGGAATTTTAAAGATGGTGGTCGACTTCCGGTTAGAGAACTGACCAAATTATTTTCAAACTTTTGGCAGTTAGAGTGTTCCAACATCCCGGAATGAGACGATAGTCCCTATTTTTAAAAGGGTTTATTTCACCCATGGAACAACTATCGGAGAATAAGTCAACTTCCGATTACGTTCAAACGATTGACTTCGGTCATACTTAAGATTGTTCAAAATCGGTGAAAGACCGATTCGTGAGGAGTAAGGTGATTTTCACTTCGATCATATCTTCACTCTCCAACTACTAGAACATTATCATACTTATTGCCGGCCAGGAGTTATTATGTTTTTGATGTCAAGTCTGTTTTCAATTTGTTGGACAATATTGTTCTCTGGGATCGTTGGAGAAGGATGTACCTGGGAAGTTTATTGACATCTTGAATGGCTTGAAAACAAACATTTCAGTCAGAGTGAGGGCATACAACCACCTCTCCATTGTTCCGTTCAGCAATGAGGTCAGATGGGGTTACCTAACCTCTCCATTTCTCTTCAATTTTGCCATTGACTACATTCTAGAAACAGTTTTGACTGAATTAGGTGATGGTGGTGTGAATTTGTTATCTGTAGAAAAACTTTTCGACCCTGAGTATGTGGGTGATCTCGTTTTACGTTGCAATGATGCTCGAGACAACCAACCCACACTTAATAAGTTGGCGATGACTATTCGTAGGTTTACCATGTGCTTTGTACCTTAAATACTTTTACAAGACTGTCAGGAGCCTGTACCTGCAGTCACTTTTAATAGTGAGGATTCGGAAGTGGTTGTGTATTTGGGTAGCTGTGTTAGTGCTAATAGTGGCGTGACTGATGAGATCAGTTCATTTATAGTGAAAGTCAGAGTGCCTTATACCAATCTGTGCCATGTTTAGTGTCTTTGACTCCTTGACTGGGCCCTAAAAGTAATGCAACATGGTGTCTTGAGATGTCATCAGACATGTCTCAGAATAAAACTCAGTGGTGGTCCTATTGTAATTTTCTTTTACTTTCTTCATGTAAGTAAGGTAACTTCTTTACGGAGAGATGGATGGTGGCTAGCAGTGGAATCCAGGATATAGGTATCGTTCTATCTGGGACTCGTCGGCCGGATGTACGGTAATGAGTTAAAGTCCCGGAGTGAACAACAACTCTTGTATGCAAGTGCATCCAGCTGACGAGTCGCAAATAGGATGGAAGGTGTTTCCTAGATTTTAGTGTTAGCCATCATCTAACTTTGTATATAATGCTTGTTTTTCCTTAAGAAATTAACTTTTACTCACTCATATCTAGTAAAAAATAGTTACCTTTACTCTTATCTTAAAAAATCTCTACACATCTTTCTAAATGTGCATAAATTATGACATTAAATAATTTTTTTGTGTACATTCTTTTAAATGAAAGACCTACAGCTGCTACTGAGAAACTTTTACAGTTAACCCGTCAGTTAGACGGCATATTAGAGACATCAGAACGTTTAACTAGTTCAATGCATACATCAGGCACTACTAGTCCAATAATGAATGAATTTACTTCAAACCATGGATTACTAGAATCATTTCATTATCCTGAATCATGTCGACAATACTCTAATCAAACTGGTGAATCACATGATCAATTGACAAAAGATTATTCACATTGTTCACCGAATTCTTTATTATCTGGAGAATCATCTCAAATGTCTATAAGTCAAAATCATTTAGTGCGAGGACTTGAAGTAAGTAACCGCTAATTCTGTAATACTCTCAATAAAGTAATCAGTTTTTTTTTTCTGTCTACAATTTGAGTAAGGCATCCGTTTGTTTGTTTATCTATCGGTTTGTTTATCTCACGATACTTATCATGTTTAGGTTGCATAGTTGTATGTAGTCTTGACAGCAGATAATGAAAAGCGAATGGCAATGGTTTTTAACAGTTGTTCGGCGAGTCATTCCATCAGTTGTGTAGAGAGTTATCAGAGGAGGAAAAGGGATTCTATGTACTCCACAGATAATTACCATGAGTTAAATTTTATCTAATATCCCTGATTAATCTCGGACATGTGTTATTTGGTCTGGAATTAACACACATTAACGAATTAACCTGCAATAAAGGTTCTGGTGGCCAAAAGAATTATGCCTAGTTTCAGTTTCTTGTATTTGTGACAGTGTTTCATATCATCCTATTAACGTTGTCTTTTGTTTGGTTTCTAAAATTAAGTTGCAAATCAAAGTAAGCTATAGTTCTGAGCTTCATTCAAGTTAGTTTAACAGGTTTATTCTCCGTAATGTTGTGACTTATATAAAACGTTTTCATAACTTAGTATGTTGTTGTTATTCATTACATAATTCCATTGTCTATTTAGGGAAGATGTGCTAGTAGGCCACATTTATTTGCTGGTACTAACCGGTACTATGCAGTTAAATTTGTTGAAGTATAGTAATAATTAAATCTCTTACCTAGTACAGATTTATTTAATCGGCTTCAAGATACACTTTAGTTATGAGAGCTAGTGATCAAAACCGATGGGTTGTAGTTTGAGTCTTCTACTTACTGATTAAAATTCAAATACCTTAATCACTAAACCATCGTTCTATGAAGAAATGAAGGGCTCAAAAGTTAGGCACCAATTCACGGTCTTATTTAGATCTTCTAAGCCATATTTAGTGTATTACAGTCTACTGGACTAGGAACTCGATTCCTTTTTGTTTATCCGTTTGCTTAATTTATTCGTCTGCATAATTTTCAACTCATTTTCATAGGACTTCACAACGATAATGCAAAACTCTGATAACTATATTTATCTATATATGTGTATGATAATTGTTGATTATTTGATACAATATGGTTGGAGATAATTGAAAAGGAACAAATTACACTGAGTCTTTTTTATTTTACTCAGGAAAGAAATGTTGAATTAGCTTCAATGTTAGAAAAACGCAATCGAGCATATGAACGTCTAACAGTTAAAATGGACTTAATGAAAGATCAGTATGAACGTCGATTAACTGATTTAAGCAATGAACGTACAAATTTACAAAATATTTCTCAACGAGATTTAGAGAAAACCAAAGAACAAGTTAGTGTTACTGTTCAGTAACTCTTTTCACTAACATTCTTGAATTTATAAGATATGTGGGTTTGTATTAGAATGATTTGTTTTGACAATCTACCAGTTACCTAATGGCTAAGCTAGTTAGTCAGCTTTTAGCCAACAGGTCACAAGTACGAGCTCCATTTTATTTATTATTTCAATTTAAGCAACGGGTCAGTATCGTACAATGTCTCACAAAAATAGTGTTACTTAAAGTTGAACGCATAGACTTAAACTTACAAAATGGTCTATATGTGATAGGTTAAAGAGATTTATTATTTATTTATTTGAACATATAAACATTGATACAACAAGGCACCAAACAGATATGCGCCACATAAATCGATTGATTTATGTGAAGGCTGGGATACTGCCCGGGTGCCCAAACCGAAGCAGGTCAGTGGGCGACCATACTGCGTTGAAAGCACCGGTTCTCGTCCGATCACTGCAGTTAGGCAATGTTGGGCCCGGTCAGTACTTGCATGGGCTAAAGAGATGATCATGATCATTGTGGTTCTTGGATAATTGAAAGTGGAGTTACGGAGTGAAACTGTTTATGTGGATGTATGTAAAACTGGAGTAGGTGGATTGGGGTTCTAACTTGCGACTTAGTGACTAAAAGTCATAGACCATAACCACTGGGCCGCCACTCCACTTCTTAAAAACTAATCACGAGACCTCCCTTCTGATAAGAGTTCAGTAATACTATCCCATTGCTCAAACTGAAGTAAACAGTGTATGGTTAGAACCCCTACCCTCATGAATGATAAGTTGTAAATATTTTCCTCCAAGTAGATATGAAGGGTGACATATTGTCTGTTATTAAAACTTGCATCCTAACATAATTTTGTCGATTCTTATGAATAATCCCTAACTCATTAACCGAATAAACAAATGTTAGTGTATACACAATAAATGTATCACAAAAAATACACATGATTATAAGTTACGTAATGTTTCAGGAATCATAGATCATGTTGAACTATAGCTAAACCGGCATTGACATAGTTGCAGTGCAGCCACTAGTCCAAGTGATTCTACATGACATTTTAGTTTGTTTAAATGTAGGTAGTTGAGGGTGATCATCAGAAATTCATATACCTCGGTTTTTATACTACTTGACATCTGTCAGCAGAATGTATCCGTAATAATGAGAAAAACGACTATTCGCCGGTGATTCAAACCCATACCACTAAGTTTTCACAGTCAGATATGTCTGAGTTAAATTGTCAGGTTTCATAAATCGAGTAACAGTAATCCGCACAGTAAACAAATTTGGTAGCATAAAGCTAAATTATTGAACATTTTACATTATCGTTAGTTCACTACTTGATAGTATGAATAGTTTTATATTGCTTTTATTAACCAAAAAGAACACATTACCTCTGAATATTACACTGTACTTTGCCTATTCATCAAACTCATAAGGTCTAAAAAATTAGTGAAATATCCAGCACTAAAGTTTATGATGCAGGTACCTATCAATTAGATACAATAGTTACAAATATGAATTGAATCACGCGATCGCATTATGAAAACCACTCCTTGCACCAGTTTAACAAAAATTTCATTTTACCAACTAGGCGTTTTCGAGAGGTTCAGTTGTCACCTGGTTTCAAATATTGTTTATTTGAGTTATAATACAAGGAACTAATAAGTGAAAACTATGATTTTAGGGAAATAAATGTTACGAATTTCTCACTCATGCGGTAACTTAATGATCTATATGTATTTAAAAGAAAATTTGTTTGACACTTCGGCTTTAATCCCAGCACCTAGAACAATGGAGCTAAAAACTAAACACACAAACTTGTTTTTGTTTTGATGAATGAACATGTTAAAGATAGTAATTAACTGACCAGTCAAGGAAGATGACTATCTGATTATAACGAACATAAGAGATTATTTTTTATTCTCTCTGTGTCTAGTCTGATTTTATTCTGCATTGATTGCTTGTAATTTGTGTCAGTAAATTATTGTTCTGGCCTGTTGTAATCTAGTTCTCAATAGCTGACCATTCTTTGAGTATTTGAGTTCACGTGATCAAGTATTGTTATTTATCTACTAATTCTATTATTTAATAACTAGTGTTCAGTTCTGTTGTTCCTACCGATCGTATTTATCTTGTGTTTTAGTATTCCAGTGGCAGGATTGTAACAATTCCAAGTACAAATCCTAGCTCCCTTGGTTATACCATTAATTATATCAATTCATTTACCAAGTAATAAGGCTACTGTTATTACTCGGTCCCTCACATTGAAGTGAAGTGGGGTTCGAACACTAAATCTAATAGTTGAAACCAGTGTGCCTCAATTACCATCTGAGTTTCACTAATTTATAATACATTAACATTTCGCGTATCGTAATCGATACTTTGCCTAACTTATATTTATCATAAAAGTGCAAATATACACCTAGTCCGGTTGTCAGCCTTTTTGTGTAACAAACGAAAATAAAGAAAACAATATAAGGTTTTCTGTCATTTCATCCATCTTCGTTGTATGTCACAGACTAAAAAACAATTAAGTGCGATGGCTGTCCTGGTTATTTTGAGTAACAAAAATGTTTTTTTTCTGTTTATATTGATTGTAGTTTGTTTCAATTTCAACATTCCAGTTCACTGATATTGCAGGTCTTAAATAAAGTACACGAAAGTGTAAATACAAAGTAAAAACACATATGCATACACACGATATAATTGTGTCTCTCTCTGTTAACAATCAATAGAATTGAGAAATTTGACCTTGCTTAAGATCAATTAAATCGATGTCTTATATATAGTAAGCTTACTGAATCGATTTAGTGAGTAGTGGGAGGTTTTTTGAGTCGGTTACTACGATCTGTAAATTGAGATAAGTTGCAGAGAAGATGTGTGCCTAGTTGACTCAATAGTGGTTGATATGTACCGGGATCGGTGTCCTATGCAGTAGCCTTTTAGCATTTAAAGCATCTGGCTTCTAACCACCAGGCAACAAGTTCCAACTTTACTTAGTCACGGAGTTAGACTTATTATTAAGGTTAATTTTCGTCACTGATTATTAATAACTAGAGGATTATCGAAAAGAGGAAGTCACTGGACAACTTTTTGGCTTAGTTTAGATTGCCCATAAATGGGTACCTACTAAACCACCTGGGGTCAAACTCAAGATCTTTCTATCTCTCAATAAGTGCTTGACTTTTACACAGCTAAGTTGGAATCCAACATTTCCAAATTTTACGATATAGAGCAACACTGTTGAATTATTTTTGTGGGTAGTTACCTCATTCTCGAGGTAGCTAATTCCTGATGTTTTTGTATAAATTCCACCGGTGGAATAATGTTCATCGCTAAGTATTAGTGAATAATCTTAACATAAGATGGAGAGGCTTCCAAGTGCTCTAATGTATCCAATGCCAATACCCCAACGAAGACCAATTGCAAATAACCAAACCTTCATAGATCTCTGTACTAAATTATTACTTTTAGTGACCATTAGGAAGCAGGTATTTGTTTCATAGGTGTTGTTGATGTTTTGTGTTGAAGATGCTAGATTTCCAGAAATCACTTGGTAAACGTCCCAGTTTTGTAATATCAGTACGCTATTTTATGACGTTTTCGAAGGACATTTTTGTACTATGTCTTGTACGCATAAATTGTGTGATTAATGTTGGTGCTTCTAACTGCTTATGAAATATACTTTCCTTTCAGCTGAATCTGGTCTTCTCTCTCTAGTTAGTAGGGCTGGAGCTCAGTGGGATAGCTTAGCTTGTTCTGGTAAAAATGGACACTTTCGGTGCTAAAATGGGAAATTCATATTTCCATAAGAAAATTATGTTGAGATTATTCACCGATACTTAGCGATGAACATTATTCCACCGGTGGAATTTATACAAAAACATCAGGAATTAGCTACCTCGAGAATGAGGTAACTACCCACAAAAATAATTCAACAGTGTTGCTCTATATCGTAAAATTTGGAAATGTTGGATTCCAACTTAGCTGTGTAAAAGTCAAGCACTTATTGAGAGATAGAAAGATCTTGAGTTTGAGCTCAGGTGGTTTAGTGGGTTCCCAGTAACGGGGAGTCTAGATATATACCCATTTAACTTTGTACATATATCTCGACTTAGTTCTCACTGATGAATCATGGAATAAAACCAGTCAAATACGAGGATTATTTTATAAACATGTATTTAACACATCCGTTAATACAAACAGATAATAAGAAAAAGAAAGCGGATAAGGCAAATATGTCTATTCAATCTAATTAAAGCCATATTCAATATTTATTGGCATTATAGATACGAGTAAGTATCTAGACCCATATAACTATCATACACACATGTCAAGGTCACGTATATGAATGACGGGAAATTAGGATAATTCATCTGTTTAAAATTGTGTTGTCGTGTAATAAAATAGAGCATTCTCTGTTTGATCTTAAACTTCCTCTTTTCAAACAATTGACATTTCATTTATCTGTTTGTAGATTAAAGCACACGCTAAAACTATTGGAATCTTAGTTGCTGAAAAAACAGAACTTCAATCACAAGTGACACATTTGGATAATTTAGCTGTACAAAGATTACGAGTAAGTTAATTAAAAATTTTCTAATAAGAATAAGATTGAACGTGTACATGTTTACTAATCTATTAAGTAAGCAGTAGGTTTACTTGGAGTTTTGTGGAGATCGATCTAATTTATAGACTATATTCGTCACATAGATACATTTCAGTCGGGATGACCATTTAGAACCCGGTAGCACTGAACAACTTTTATCCTAGGATCCAACTCTTCGGAAGTGCGCACCGACAACCACACCAAGAATCAACATAAAGATCTCCATTTCTCGGGATGAATACTTAACCATTAAGACTACTAGTTCGAGATCTCTTGGTAAAATTTCAACTCCGATTTTAAGTTTAGGGCAATGATTATCCATTGCCATTTGTGACAGCGTTTTCCCTCCCGACATTTCTGAAATCAACATGCGGTGATTACAACCTACCAAGTTAGTAGGCATAGTGATTTCAAATCAGGATTTTTGTTAACGAATAAAACAAAAAAAACTTATTTACTACGAAAATTGTTACCATTACTTTTTTATTTTAGGAAATTGAAGAAGTCAGCTCTAGGTTAAAAGCATCACGTCAACAGATTTTAGATTTGGAACGTAATTTATCAGAGAGTAAAGCAAGTGTGAACAACTTGCAAACTGGTAACAATGATCTACAGAATCAGGTCAGTGTTTCTTTTCTACTATTTCTCTTCCCTCCTTCAAACTAGTGTACCTGTTGCTCAGTAGTCTAGAGGTAAAGCGCTCACTTCGAGGACTGCAAGTCTTGAATTTGATTGCATGTGAACTTGCAGATGTATATTCTTGATAGGTTCCTCACTGGGACAAAACAGCCGCTCACTGATTCTTTGTTTAACAGGTGGAGTAGCCTAGTGGGTAATACGTATGATTTTCTTCCACTGAGTTCCAGGTTTGAGCTCTACTCCACTTTAATTCGGATAATAGAGTAGTATCGGTCTTCGTTACACTCAAAGTATAGTTTATATCCATGCACGTGTTTAACGATTAAATTATTCTGTATTTTTTTAAAATGGGTACACTAACTACTCACTACCTTCTCGTTTCGTGCTTATACAACCAGAGGTAATCTATAAATAAAATTTCAGGAGAATTGTTCATCCTCTTTTTCTCTAAGTGATTATAACACAGTTTATATTGTAATAATAAACTCGATGGTTTTTGGTTTAATACTTCCATTTATTTGGTGAATTTAAAGTGAACTATCGAACTAATTAGAATCGAGAAAGCGACTTCCAGTTTCTAGCCCATGTTTCAATCTGCAGTGATATATATCGAACATATGTGTTAAGATTGAGATTAGTGTTTTATATTAACTTACCATAGTTCCTAACTTTTAACTATGACCTTAACTCTGAACCTAAAAAAAAATTAACTAGTCACATAATGACAATATATTATTTGCATTATTATTACGATTATTCCTTCGCTTATATTTACTGTTCCGTGGTTGTTTAAAACGAGCTATCATCTCAAGGTCGTTCGCTAATGTGCTGTAGTTTTACCATTTATTTTGAAGAGATATACTCGGTATTTTATTAGTTTTCGGGAATTTTACTTTTTTTATTAATTTACAAGACTGAACAAGTCTGTATCTGGTTACCATATGGTTCCTTGAACAACGGATAATTCGTCATTACCTGGATTCACAAAGTGATGATAATTTGCATTAACAATGGGATATTTTAACTCATTTGCAAATGACAATATATCTATTGAGAATATGTTAGTGGCCCTCATTGCTGAGTAGTCCTGTTGCTGATTCTATTGTATTTGAAGTTATAGGTATCTGTATGAAAATCAGGACTCAGATACAATTATATCTACCTTATTTTGTTCTACATTAGATATAACTTGCATCCTTGATTCCACTGTTACTTACATATCTACTGGTCACTCTTATTATAAAGAGTTTAAAAAATGTAACATTTAAAAATAAAACATATTAGAAACAAGAGTAGCATTTACATACTACCGGTTTAACTTATTCATTGTTAACCTACTCAAAGCTGATTGAAGTACTGAAATTGTGATTGGTTTTGCTGTTTACCAGGTGGAAGGGTTGTTTAATGTTTGATGGATATAGATTTCGCCCAGAAGGTCGACGGTTACAAATCCCTCTCCAACTACTTTGGTTTACGCAACTGGGGTATAGTATCATTATCTCTTACTTAACAAAGGTTTGGGTCAAGTACAAAACCCGCAATCGGTAAAATCAGTCATAATTAACGTAGAGCCCGGGACAAGTGTACGTTAACCCAAGTTGCCATACCATATTAGCACAACAAAACGAACAGCAAAAGAAACCGAATAAGTGTAGTAAAATTCATGATAATAAAATCAAAGATTGAAGATATAGTTCGTAAAAACAGAATGTAGTTAGGTATGAAGGAATGTTGGGACTCTAAATCTACAGAAAGACAAGTAGTGTGTGCATCTGTGTCATTGTGACTGATCCTAATCCCATATCATACAACATCTCCAGCCACTGGCTACAGTAATCGCATGGACTGCAACCAAGCAGTTTGTATTTACCAGTATGGCTTAAGCAAACATCTCATAACCTCAGGGATTGATATCTCGTCTTGGTTTGGACACTACTAGCCTTATTCCATCTTGCGCGTACCATCAGCCATTATCGCGCATCATCATCATAGGTGATGATTAGGCATAATATACGTCCCAAATACATCAAATGAGTTACAGCTTATTAGGAATTTTCGGTTATTTAATAGAGAACTTCAGGAAACATTTTGTTTACAATAATTCTTCCCATCCTCTCCTCTTCTCTATTTATTCCCACCTAGATTAAATGCCTTCAAGGGGAAATAAAGCGTGAAAAAATAGCACGCCGAGATGTCGAAGATGAATTATCTGAAACGAGGTCTCGATTAACAGCTAAATCGTGTGAACTAGCTCAAACTGGAATAAGTTTAAATGAATTAAAACAGCAACTTGAATTATCACAGGTATGTTATTTATAAATGATTATTTTAGTTGACTGCGTTAACTTTCGAAAGTAGTGTTTTGGGTTTTGTGTGATAAACACGTTTTAGTTCAGTGTTGACGAGATAAACTTGAACTAGCTTCTTTCCAGTTTAGTTTATATTATTGTGGACGCTACTTACAAGAATGACTGTAAGCAGTATGTAGCGGAACCTGGCCTCGAAGTTGTCACAGTGATCAGGCGGGGAGAAGTTTCAGTATATCAAAAGCACGGCGTAGACAGAACACCTGAAGACTAGACGAGAAGAAAGCTAGGATTGCAGAACACACTGTATAAACGCTTTGTAATTTCTCTCAATAAACATTCGTTTCTTCTGCCAATTGCTTTGTTCTACAATATGATTACATTGTTAACCAGTGGTAAATAGAAGGACATGAACATTTATGAACTGTATAAAAGTGACCAGAAATATTTTTGTATCACAGTCCTTATCTTTCTACTTTTCTTGTCAGTTAGTTAGTAATTGAGTCAAACATATTCTGCGTCATTCAAATGATTCTCTCTCAGTTTTGTTGAATCAGTTCGAGCCCAAACTATCTACCACATGATTAATCCGTGTGATTTAAAATTAATGAAATGATTAGTAGAATGATAATTGGTTAGTGATGATATACACAATGGTACAGTATAGTATAATTGTCAGTATCGGATTATTAATCCAAACCTTAAAAATGAATCGATATAAAAAGTAAAAACAACTGAACAGTAAACGTAACTTTCCACTTTATAGCATGACACATACAAAATGCTAATGCAAAAGTGTTAGTGTTGATGTTGCTTGACGAATGTGAGAGGACGAAATGCGAATGTCCGTCGCTTTAACCGGGTTGGTGGATACGGATGATTCACTTAAGGGAGTTGGATTTGAAATCCACGAGGTTGCTGTAAGTTATAGTTCGAAACGTTGAGTGTTATATTCCGAAAATGATCCAAGTAGCGCACTTGGATTCGTTCTTCTGAATCTTGAGTTAGGTGTTAACTCATTTGCGCGTTTTAAGCTATATTTTCCATTTTCAGCTTTATGTCACAGTTGATATTATTTTCCTTTCTCTCTCTTTCATCCTATAAATCAATTTCCTCTCTTGCTGTGCTACTCTTAAGCGTGATGGCTTGGATCGATATACATTGATGTCAAGCTGTATGTACTCTGCTACTGACTAACGATTCGTTTTGGTTCAATAACTGTTAGTGATGTTTCCAATTTCGCAATGAGAGACTCCATAATTTGTTATCGGTAATAAAATAGGTTAATTTCAAATTCATTTGTCATAAAATATGTTTAGAATACATATTTACTTTTTTACACTCGTCTTTGAACCACTCTTTGTGTGAGGGCTGGTGACACTGTCTGGCTGTTAGAAACTGAATTAGATGGAGTCTTATTCGAGCTTTTGATTGGAAACGGATAGGCCTGTCATCACTACATCATCGCCTCATTTATAGTATACTGACTAACGATATTTTTGGATCTATTTTCTCAACTAAATTTTTCAAATCAGGTAGATTGATTTAATTGTTAAGGTTTAATGGTTTAGATCACTGGACTATAGCTTCAATTTACTTCGACACAGAGACATTTTCTCTTCTTATTGTTACGAAATAACGTTTTGATATTTACTTTCTGTCTTTTGTCTATTAAGATTTATGCTAATCAATTAAGGAGTACTACAGATAGCTTAATGTGTTCGGAAGATAAGAAATATTGCAAAGAAAAAGAAGAGTGGTTATCAGAACGTGCTGATCTACTGAATCGATTGAAGTTGCTTGAATTGTCATTATCTTCGATTGATACAGAAAAGAAACGGTTAGATTCTCAGTATCATAATTACGTTGCACAGGTTTGTTTAATTTCTTTTTTCTCTTGCGGTTTTTCTCATATTTTGTGCTACTTAATTAAGATCTCACTCCAGCCATTTATGATATTTCTCAGTTTTGAACTTTGCTTATTTTGTTATAAAAAAGAATCGCTAACACGACATAATATTTGTTAACATATGGGTTACATTTGCAATTACTTTTCTAAAATTTTGTTGCATGCTACTTTTTTATAATATATAGTAATAGTCGGGGCTAAGTTCGTTGGTTCATTGTGTTTGCGATTTATTGGTTTGATGATGTATAAGGCATAAAGCGTCATTGTATTCAATGTTATTTCGTATGTGAGGTAAACTACAGTCTGATAATTCAGGTTTGTAAACTAGTGAGTGTTTGAGCTGTAAGGACTGAATTTATGAATTCTAGGTACGTTCTGGACCAATAAAATTGTCTGGGTCTCAACTCAAAGTTAATCTTGGCAGTTGAAAGGTTTTATTGAATGAAACATAGAAAGTTATTCTGTAGCGAAATATTACAGGATTCATATTGGTAAATCTTATCGGGTATAATTATTGGAAGAAACAGTTATGCGTGATTAGTAATGTTCTAGAAGTAATCGTAATTGTTGCACTACGCACTGGTCACTTTGAGAATGTCGCCGTATCAAAAGTAATAACGAAATAAAACATTGGATGATTGAATGTTTACAGTCAGCCTAGAATTTTAATGGTAGTTTTGACACTCTGGGTATATACTACTACTATCTTGATATGATTCAAGTTGGGAAAGATCGAGTTTGTTCATGCTATTACACGTCTGGGTAAATTTGTTACTCTATAGTGATGTAAGCTATGAAGTGAATTGATTAGATTAGGCAACCTGTTTGTTTTTCTCCATGTGTTCAGGTTGAACAACAGGCAGATGAGTTACGCTCTCAATTATCTGAAACAAATAAATTAAAACAAGAAATGGAATTGTCATTGGAATCAGTTAGTCGACAATTACGTGAAAAAGATAATGAAATCAATGATTTAAGTTAGTTGCATTCAATGTTTCGTTATTATTGTGAATCATTTTTCATTGTTATTTTTACATTCGTCTATAGTTTTTGGGTGGTGTGAGGTCCAGGTCATATTGCCTACTGTACCGAGATATGGTTACATTAAGGTGTTCTCACTAGACAATTGGCATTTACTGTGATTATTCTTTTTTACAATGTGAGGAGAGGGTGTAAAAACATCGTCACAAAACTATCACACCACCTTTCCCCATGTTTTGCCGTCGTCGTCGGTAAGACCTTGAGAGTATAGAGCTAGTTCGTACAAAACTACTTAAAAAAGTCTGGTTGTCTCTAGCGGCAACCAGTTGTACCCTGGTAACTACAGTCACGCCCTTAGGTCAACGAGACTACTTGTTACAATTCTCTTTCTTAGCGCCCCGGAACATAGTATCCTTTCACAGTGCAGGTAGCAGAAAGTTATAACTGGCGTCATAACTCTGACATCACTCGAGATTATTTCAAATTATCAAACAGATCAAGTGGACATGAGATCTGTCACAGATACGTATCGGTCAAAGTTAGTCACTGAATATTTGCAACCACTAAAATCAATAAAAGTTAGCGTAAGAGGAAAATTAACATGAATTGTGATGATGAATAAAATGACTATTATCAGTATGGGAAGATTAGATTTAATTATAAGCATGAACCGATCTTAGACAATCATAGAAAACCTGGAACCACTGAATAGCTGTTTCGTCTTAGTGTAAAACTCCTCAGCAGTGCACATTCGCGACCTCGCATGCAGGAATCGAACTCACCTACCTAAACACTATATTAGCTAATATGGGAGTAGATTAGAGGAAATTTAAAGGTGATTATTCTAACATGTTGTATAAATCCATGAAATCATTAATTGTTGGACTGAGGCGTATAAGTAGGTTAAACCATCAGGTTAAGGTCTGCGCGATTGCTGTGGTCGACAGTTGTTGGAAATGTTAGATGAATTTAGTTCAGAATCGGTTGCATTAGTTTCGATTCATTTTCTGTTTATCCTTTCCTTAGTTCTTTAGTTCTTATGCAACGAATTCATTTTTCTTGGATCTTCTTGTCTATGTCTAATAATTTTTACTGCCACTGGTCCCTATTTTAATAGTTTCATCTGACTGTGGTAATATGTTGTGATAACTTGAACGGATGCACATATTAGCCAGGTTCTACGTTGCCTATAACTGGCTGAGTCTTAAATCAATTAACATTGTCTCATTTTAGTGGAGTTTATAGTATGTTATAAATTAACATTTGAAGAGGAATTCTTAGTTGTTGTTAACTCGAGTTATTCCGTTCAATCTGCATGGTATTATCATGATAAGGTCAAATGTAACGCATACATTTATGCATTTAATATAGATGATAAATCACGTCTCTTATTTATGATTGTCTCATAGACCTTGGTCGAAAAGCTTAGAATAACTCTTTAGTTGAATCAAACCAACAGTAAATGATTTTATTGAATCATTGCTCTGATCATTAATAATTCTTTTGTGTAACCATATCGTTATATTAATTACAATATAGCATATATAAATAAATACAACTGTTGATCGTAAATGATACATCTGAATCACTTCATTTGATACAGGGTTATACTATCGTCAATTGGTTAATATATTGTTGAGATCTTTCTATGTACGACCTAGCTACTCTAATTATTTAGTATTTTTCAGACACTTGACTTCAATTGACTAGTCTCCAAATCAGCGCACGGTTAAACTGGAATGAAATTATTTTCCAAGTAAACAAGTTTGAATGGGAGTAACAATCACAGTGGGAAAATTGTTAGTGAATTTATAATTCATATCGAAAAATATTCTATAGTCTACTTTGTCTACCTAGTGCTGATTCACTGTCAATTAACCCCACGCCTCAATATCATCCTGGATGGACACATGCATTAATCCAATCTATGACTTGTTAACATATATCTTACTCAGAATTTCCAGCATATGAGATATTGCTCTTTTAGATAGATTCATTATTTAATGCTTAAAGTATATATGACTTCTGTTTCCTTGTGAATAAATGATTTTACAGTCTCTATACTTTTTATTAACTGTAAGGGACATCTCGTCTATATCACAGTTGTCTGAAATTAAAGTAAGGCAGTAGAAATATGTTCTATTTCACTCAACGGTCAATTATATACTCTGATTAGCTTGAACATTTAGTTGTTAGTTGCTACATTCAGTGGTATACAGTCAACAATAAAAGTTTGTCTTTGATTTGGAGTATCTTTCTCTATTTGGTATTGTCGAGAACCTCAAGGATGAGCGTTTCAATATATTACCTACGTGTGAGGTTGATACCCAGAGTTCACAAAACCTTAATCTGTTAGACACTCGCTTTTTAATCTGGTTTCTGACAATTTCAGCCATAAGACATAATTAATCGCTAGCCCAAAACACAAAATACATTTTCAGGGGATGTAATTTTTAAAATTTCCTTCATCTAATATCTTGTTTACTGGATGTAACATTATCAATCATTAGTCTAATCAATAATCGCCTTCATTTTATTAAATTTTCATGTTGTTTGAATTTAATTCAAATAATTCCTACTCTATTGACTATTCAAACTCAACCGTTAACATCATCTGTTGAAGAACAAGATGTCAACTCTTCACCTGTTATCCAACAATCGTTGGAGCAAATAGCAGTATTGGAAACTCAGTTAAAAAGTCGTACAGAAGAGTTAGAAAATGCAAATGTTGAAGTATGTTTTCCTAGCTGTATTTCTCTTGTTTGATATTGATTTTTTTTATTTCGGTGATATTTTATGTCCACAATTTTTTTTACACATATACGTTTATTTGTGATTTAGATTAGTTATAAGCATGTAGCGTTAGTTCATTATGGATGTGTTACGATCGACGATCTCCAATTCAGATACACACACTTTCTGTGCACATGGCTAACCAGCTATGACTAAGAAGTTGTGAATGGTGAAACTTGATGATTTAATACATAATTCATCAGTGTAAATACTTACACAATCACCTCATTCCATTTTGTCCAAACCAAAAGACATAACGGCGCAGGAAGACAAGTGTGACATTTCCGAATGGATTTGGACCAACTAAGATAAATATTACATTAGGCGAATTCAACTACTCCTTCATCTACTCATAAATGAACATAAATTAGTAGTAAGATGACATAATATCATATCACTGGTATCATTGCGTGAAGATAACCATGGATATAAATCCGGTTAAAGAAGTTTCAAGACCTAGAGAGGATTGTTAGAAGCACGGTATTCAAGTCAACCAAGAATCAATGGATATCTCCATGTAGACCCAGTTAATACACTTGTAAGAAAACATATTGTCGAGGAGGAATCAAATAAATATGCGCACGCAAATTATTCGAGTTGCGTGAGGGCTGGGATACTGTACGGGTGCCCAAAACTAATTAGGTGGCTTTCTTAGAAGGCTGATCTCCGGGCTTTTGACCTAGAGGTTTAATCCATAAGGCAGTAGAGCAGTGTAAGGAGATGCAGTCCCATGGGCAGCCGGTGATCAACAATAGGTTCATACGCCATATGTCTCTTCAGGATCTGTTATGACCTGATGTCTGGCCTTTCTACCACGAGAATTATCCACCAATCAGAGTACGACTTATACAAATCTTCACTATATATCAACCAATGACGTTCAACCGGTGTGAGCAGTCTAGCGCCTTGTTGGTCCGAGGTCCTTCTAGCCCATCTGCTTGAGTCCAAATAAAACGCAATACCAGCTACCGCAATATGAATATATGTATTTCAAACATACTCTGTTTATATACCAATCAGCCAGACCACAACGTACCATAAAATAGGAAATAACATGCGTACACAAATAAGCCAAAAAGTGGCTGTGAACGCAGGAGACAGTAATTAATCGACTGAACATAGATTAAGAACCGTAAATCGTATAATAATAAATTATAGGTCAAAATAAAGCTTAGAATAAGGGGAATATAAATACATATAATGTAATTATTGAATAATTATACAATAAGAATATTTATAGAATATTGGTATATTAACAGTCCTCGGAAGTTACCTGTGACTTAATCTTCCCTGGGTTATAACAGGATCCTTGAGCCTATGTGCACTATTGGTTTGGAATCACGGTTTTCCAACTGTCCTAAGTGAATCATCCGTATCCACCAACCCGGTTAAGGCGATGGACATTCGCTTTTCGCCCTTTCAATTTCGTAAACAACAGTAATGCTGCGAGAAGGTAGTGAGTAGTACTTCCTTGGTAGTGGCCATATACGCGTGGCCATGTGAGAGTATTTCGAAAGGGAAAGCTAAATCTTCCCACACTTGGCCGCACCAGGGCACCATGCTCTTACATGGCTACGTACATACAACCACTGCCAAAGAAGTCCTACTCACTGCCTTCTCGTCACTGAGATGTTGTTTACGAATTTGAGAGGACGGAAAGCAAATGTCCGTCGCTTTAACCGGGTTCGTGGATATGGATGATTCAGCTAGAGGAGTTGGAAAACCCTGGTTCCAATCCAATGATGCACATGGCTCTAGGATTATGAGAGAAGAAATGGCGTATAAAGCGATTATTGGTCACTGGCTACCATGGGAATTTGTCTCTCGACATTGCCCCATTGCCTTATGGATTAGACCTCTTTAGGTCTATGGCTCCGGGTGTGGTCTAAGAGAACTACCTGTTTCGGTCTGGGCATCCGGGGCAGTATCACAACCCACACACAACTCAAGTGACTTGTGTGGCGCATATGTATTCGTTGCCCGTTTTTACTAATATTTATGTGTTCAGATAAGTAAACAAATAACCACCCTCGACCTTACAAGAACACTTGGGCGCCCTACACACTACACAAAACTAGTTAAGTATTTGACAAAATTGTGATGGTGGGGAATCAGATGGCTATATATTTGAATATGCTTGTTTTTGTAGGCGCAAATAAAATCTCTGAACTTTTAATGTAGACTACGAATAATACCTTATTAAATTAGGACATTTTAGTGTTTATATTAAACAGGTTATCTGAAAATAATTTAAAAGTAACAGTTTTATTTTATACTACGTAGTAGATGATGATGGCGGGACTTTAATCTATTGGCAAACCAATCCGACCTAGTAAATCAAGTCTTGGATTATGGCGTGAAATTCACTCACTTTTATGACTGTTTAGTATTTTGACACTATAGCTGATGCTACTTCTTGAAAAAACCCTAACTTTTAACTCTAAATCTTACTGTTAGTTCCTCACACCGATTTTTATCTTTTTGTCCTTAGCAAGTGGTTGTGAATTTTTTCAAGGTTACTTTGATAAGGCGTTTAATCACCTTCAAATACTCGTCACTAATGGATCTCACTTGGGTTTCTACTAAAAGTCAAGAAAAATTGTATAACTGTTTCATCCTAGCTCAAGACTCCTCGATAATGTGCGCTCACGACTTCCCCATAGATTGAACCCCAGGACCTTTACCTGTCTTTTCCCTAGCCATATGAAATATAGTGTTCAGATATGATGCATTAAATTTTGATCGCATCTATTCTGAATCTTTATTTTTAAAGTAACTTTTATCTAGGGGATCTCTTTGGTGATATAGCCTTAATCTCATGCTTTGATTTTAGTGTTCTGTTTGTACTTATATGTTTGCTTTTTCATGTTCTTTTAATAAAAATCTTTTTGATGATAGATAAATCGGTTAACTGTTCGATTATCTAAATTTGAGGAAACTGTTGAACAACTACAAAATTCATTATCTGATCGTGATATAGTTTTGGCCACAGCTACATCAGAACGAAGTGCTTTAAGTCGAGCTGTAGAGCAAAATAAGAATTTAAAACAACAATTGTCTGATTTGCAAACTACATACACACAAATGGTATGTCTTTCAAACATATTTTATGGTGTAAAATAACCTGCTATTAAATAGTGACTTCGAATGTGAAGATTATTAATCTCACTCGGAAATTTGTAAGTTATTCTTTGGCGAAGATATCTTCTGGTCAATGAAGAAGTGTGTACTTATTGCGCAGCTGAATGAACTATTACACAAGTTCCCCTACTTGTAATTATATGAGTCACTGCTTGGGTTTTCCGCAACCCATCTTGAGTCTTTAATCACTTGAAAATTCAGTTTGTTTTTATGATTTTGTAAAGATAATTAACTCATAGTATTATAGATATGTCATTTTAATCAGCTGCTGGTTGGTACTGTTTACAAAACTCCACTGTTTTAAGGTCTTGAGTAAATCTTTATCTAATGAAGTAACTGAATTAATCAACTTAGCTTAAAGAAAGATTTAACATTTTCACATCCCGGTAGATAGTAAACATAAAGGTAAGTCATATGTCTGAGATTCTTGGGAGTTTGACGACCATCATTCCATTTAATAGTATATGAAAATCTGGCGTTGTCCACCTATTTGTACTAATGTACTCTTGGAATATCTGTGCCATAGGCTGGCTGTATGTTGATGGCTAACTAAGGTTCTAGGACCTAAGTATATCTGCAAAAATATTTAAGCCTATTTTAGGTTTTCTTCTTCGTTTAGTCCGCCACCAAATGCCCTAGTTCGTCTGAGGGTGGGGATATTTAGCTTTCCCTTTCGAAATACTCTCACATGGCCACGCGTATATGGCCACTACCAAGGAATTACTACTCACTACCTTCTCGCAGCATTACTGTTGTTTACGAAATTGAAAGGGCGAAAAGCGAATGTCCATCGCCTTAACCGGGTTGGTGGATACGGATGATTCACCTAGGACAGTTGGAAAACCGTGATTCCAAACCAATAGTGCACATGGGCTCAAGGATCCTAAAGAGACAAATGGCGTATGAACCTATTGTTGGTCACCGGCTACCCATGGGACTGCATCTCCTTACACTGCTCCACTCCCTTATGGATTAAACCTCTAGGTCAAAAGCCCGGAGATCAGCCTTCTAAGAAAGCCACCTAATTAGTTTTGGGCACCCGTACAGTATTCCAGCCCTCACGCAACTCGAATGATTTGTGTGACGCATATTTATTTGACTCCTTCTTGTACCAATGTTTATGTGTTTAAGTAAAATAAATAAATACTTCGTTTAGTCCTCCTTGTACAGTTAATTGACTTAACAATCTGTGAACTATTGAAATTATTTTTTGCAACTTTTTCTCCTGATAATTATCTTTGTTTTGTTTTGTGTCTGTTCTTATTGTTTTTTAAGTGTGATATTTATCAATCAGAAATTAAGTCTGCTAATGAAATGAATTATGCATTATCTAAACAAATGGAACATTTAAATATTTTACAAATGGAAAATCAAAATCAATCAGAAAATATTATTAGTTGTACTATATTGTCAATTGATAATGCAACACAAACTGACGATAGTCATATTGTACATGATCCACCACATTCGACAGTGCATGATTGTACTGTAACTCAATCATCATCGCCACCACCAACACCACAAGAACAACAAATAGACAACATAATGAAATATGAGAATGTAAGTGGTATTGTTTTATTTGTTTACAAACTAATCATTCTCTTTTTGAATTGGACGAAATTTCTTGTGATTTGTGTCTTGGTATTTTTCAAATGGGGACATGCCTGTGTCATTTAGGTTGAAACATGATATACACTGTTTCATACATATCTCATTTTGATGGATGGTTATGGCAAGTAAGATATAGTTAGTCACTCACTGAGCATGAACTGATAGACCTGTCTTACTTTTTAATTTGTGATTTTCTCCTTCTTTATTTGTACTCTGAATTCAGTGTTTGTTTGTAACTCTATTGAATAAAGTATTACCTAGTTTGTATTCTGTGGTTTGTTATGTTGTGCCCATGAATTGTGTATTTGATGTAACGTGATTCAATCTGTGTGTAGCGTTATTGATCGAATATCTCACTTTACTTGTCGTGAAGTTCTCGGTCCCGATCACATTATAGTTGTATATAATATATCGTGACAAAACTCGAAATATTTCTGTTCTGTCGTTATATCAAATTTTAATATTGAATTCACATTAATGTTATTCTCATAGATCAATGATCTTCGTGGACTTTATGAAGTTCTGCCTAAAGTTTGCTTACTCTATCTGTAACCTTAGTTTGCTTGATAATTAAAAGGTCAACTCTTTCCTTATGAAGATTGAAACTGAATAAAAACACCTATTAAGTATCTGCTAATTTGTATAGAACTATAATAGTATAACAGTGGTTGGTTAATGGTATAATTGACTAGTTTTCTGGAAGGTATTGTATTGTTTGAAACCCACTACACTGACTTTCATCAGCCGGGACATTTTGCTTTCTATCGATTGTACGTATTGTGAAATTTATAGCTCTGAGTACATAAAACTATTACTAAATAAGTTCCATTATAAAGAGATTCGATCATAATACAATTTGTAGAGTACGTAAATGTCCTGGTAACACCGTCTCATCGTTGTTAAACTTGCACTGTTTCATTTTAAATTTCATTGTAGGTTAATCTAAGTCAACTAACAGATGAGATTGTATTGTTAAGAGATTTGTTCGCGCGTGTTTCTGTAATCTGTCAGTGGTTGGAACATGAAAATGGCAAAATCAATGAACCTAACAAATTCAACGATCCAGTATATTGTGTTAGCCTATTGGAGGAATCTATTCAAAAATTAACGAGTAAATCTTCTTCAAATGTAATTGACAATTCTGTACAATGTTCATTGTCTATAGAACAAAACGAATTAACATCAAATGTTGAAGAGTTACAAAATCTCCAGGTAAATATAAATAGTTTATAGTTGAACGTTACTTTTAATTTTACAACTATATTTAATCTGAATGATCTAATAGTCAATCAATCGGTTGTTAAGTCACAACTATTGTGGTGTGGGTTACTTATATCTACATCAGTAGTATATAACGGTGGTAGAAATATACACATCAACTTAATTAATCACAATTTTTATTAATATTTTTATGGAATTCTAGTTACAATTCATTGATTCTTTCTTGATCTAAAAGTTCGCAACATTGGATTAGTGAATATTTATTATCATTAGGTTAATGACAAAAAGTTATTATTAGTGCGACAATAATTTACGTACAACCTACGAGTGACCTTGGGAAAAGTCACTTGCTATTGTGAAAAGACGTATGTGAATAATTGTGAAGAATTAGAATCAAGATTCAGAGTTAGAATTTGAGGTTAGAAATTAATGTTAGATTTTTCTTTTTATCACGAACTTACATCAGCTTTAATGTCAAAATGCCAATCAACCATGCGAATAAATAAATTACTGTCCGGAATTCTGAACTTGCTATCTTTAATTTCATTGGTTCGTATGTCAGTGATAGTTTCGGGAAATTATTGATCAAAGATCATTGAGGAATTCAGTATCGATTAAGATCAATTTTTCTTATGTTACATCATTCAGTGAGAACTCTGCTTGTAGACTTCCAATATATTTTTCGTATGATTTCTTTCTAGTAACAAATACTCTATTCATAAATCTTAATTATTTTCATTGATAATATGATCGATTATTGATTAATTGTTTATTATCATAACCCCAACTAAGGAGTTGTGATGGACTGACAAATGCCAGTTCTCTACAGCTTTATTTCATATCATAACACCAGGTCATGCACTGACCACCTCTCCTCTTTTTCCAAGCAGTCCCAGCATCGGCAATTAATGCACGTACTTATTCAAGCCACCAAAGTCGATGTTTCAAGATGGTGATACTAACTGAACTATCGTCGCAGTTCTCGAATACACTTTGTCGAACCTATGCGCTACTAACATGGTGTTGCCAGTTAGTGTCAGCAATTCTTCAGAGTTAACGATGATCAAACACAGAGAGTCGTCTAACATTGTGAACTTGGAGAGACTAGGTTTCCCACGCATAGAGCAAAACTGTTCTCATCGATGCGTTGCGAATGAGACCTTTTACAGCATGGCTAACACCTTAAAGGGACCATAAATGGTCCATATTGGCATAAGCCGCTCTAGCTTTCACTAGACGTGAATTGATCCCATCACTCACATCACTACTAGTACTTACACAATTACCCATATATACGGACTTCTTGGTTATTTCTAACTGCTCAGTATATGGAGTGAGTGGGGTTAAAATGTTTATTCATCTATACTGTGGTCGTCATCAACCAAGCTTCCATTATGAAACTGATTACTTTTACTCTAGTTAATTGACCAGGGAGGAAGGGTATATAATTATACTGGCCCATTCTATTGATATTACCATAACGTACGGATACATCAGATACACTTGGCAATGAAGAACAAATGCATTCTTTATCTTTCATAAAATCATGAACATCACTCATTAGTTACATTGAACTCTGATACTGTAGTGCTTACAGTTTCGAATTTGATAAATAATAGTTAAACTTAATTAAATACTGAATATTTTAAATTTATTTTAAAGGTTGCTCATACACAATTGGAAGCTAAATTTTTAAAATGTATGGAAGAACTTAGTTCTGTTACTGAGGAACGCTGTACATTAGAAAGTATAAATGCTCAACTAGAAATGGAAGCTGCAACAGTTGAAGAATATGTAACACTGTTTACGCATCGTCGTGCTGCAGCCGCAAAACGTGCAAAAGCTCGTGAACTATTACTTCAACGTTTAGTAGACGACAGAAAACGTTTACGTGATCGTTTGGGAAAACTTTTTTCACAAATAAATCCAGTATACATTAAAAATGACTGTTCAAATGATCAAACAGAGCTTGTGAAACAACAGGTAGACACAACACCGAATGATTCAAGTGAGTTTTTATTGGATTTTATCTTTTTTAAAAAAAGAAAATGATTTACTATTCTAGTTGTACTTACCATTTATTTTCTTCCTGTAAAGTAATGTTTGAATTCATGACTATAGTTCCCGAAATTCTGAACAGTCGCTTTACATCACTGTCTATAAAATTAAGTATGATCTTGAGATTCGATTTAAGAACTCGATAGTATATGTACTTTAAACTTATTCGTGATTACAGTCGATACTCTTTTGCCCTAAAGAAAGTTTTTTACTGTGATCACTCAATACATATCTAGGAGTTTACACACTATTTATCGTTGTATATTGCGTCATATTTTCCAACTTAACGTTGGCATATCTATCTCGAACAGTTTTCATTCGAAGGTGGTTTTCGTCAGCAATTGGCATCTGTTGAAGTACTAAAGAGGATTACAGAGCTATTTTTGCTGATTGTAAAGATTATAGAGTGTGAGCACTCGCTACGATATCTGGATGAGGCATTGGACTCACTGTTTCTAATAGGGTGGTTAATATGACTGAACGTCTACATAATGCTTCTTATATTTCAACAGTAACCGAATGTCAATCTGTGAAGAAAACCACTTTCAAATTAAAAGCAAATACATTTATGCCATTTCTATTAAGTGTGAATGGCATCTGATTCTTTTTATCAAATTAGAAGTCACTAATAATTTAGTAAAACCTGGTACGAATTCACGCATTAACCCAGGTTCCTGAACTGAAATAGTATTATTATTTATGATAGTGAAAAAGACTAAAAGTTACTGGATGTGGTTTTCCAAGTTATATATATATATATATATATGAATCATTGGTAGTAGCATCCACGCTACTGCAACTACTTCTGAACCGTATCTATCACCTAACGTTTTCGATCACCATTGTTTCACGAACCCCGATCACGTAGTCTGCAGCTAACATTGATACGACTTAGTCTTTCAGTAGATAATTTCAGTTGTAGGCTAAAAAATTAAAATGATTGAATTGTTAATTATATAGATTTGAAAGAACAAAATTACAGTTGCTAAAATTAGTAACTCCATTTTTATCATTACAGACCATGTGGGAGGCAGATTCCTGACTGAATTTCGCTCCCTCATTGAAGAAATTGAACTATCCACAGATGAAAAAGAATTCGAAGCTGGCGTATCCGATTTAAACGATGAAGATATAGGTGATGAAATGGAAAGTCTAACTGACAAGAAACTAGTTTCTGATTTCAATACAAATGATAGTATTCAAAAGCATCATATTTCACATATAACATTGGAAAATTTACGATATCAAGCTCTACGTTATGACTGTCCACATTGTAAATGTTGTGTTGGTAGATTATTAGAAGTATAGTACTTGTCCTTATATTTCTATTCATCATTCAATTTCAATTGTCATCATCCTCCTCCTCATGTCTTTCATCAGAAAAACAAAACAATTTGATTTCAATTGTACAGATCTTATCTCTTCAATATAATATTAATAATAAGTACCAATTTTTACTTGTTTTTCACGTGTGTTGTGCCTCCATTTAAAAATGGGTCTCTACTTGTAAAACGTGAACATTTTGTAAATATTATTTATTGGTTGCGAATTATAAATAAATCATAGAACAGAAATTATTCGTTTTTTTTAATTTAAATATGTCAGATATAAAGAAAAAAGAAATAGGAACATCAATTAGCTTTTGATTGGAGATAGATGTATCCAGTTGTATTAAAGATCTAGACAATTTAGATGGTGGTTGGAGGTAGTCAACAGGAAACCCTGGACACTGGATCTCAATACATAGTGCCCGCAGTGTTGAGTCACCTAGGCTGGTGGCCACATTGCAACATGATCGATAGCATTCGATCTGCACTAATAAGGACTAGACAAGCATGAGATTGATCACCACCCAGTGATCAATCAATTGTGATCTAGACAATTTATACAAATATTCGTTGATATTTGAACGAATAGTTTGACAGAAATTAGGCTTCGATGATAGAGAAAACAATTTTCTTTGATAATTTTTTTATTGTATTACACTGAAGAAGTTCAGATAAGTTTTCTGGATGAAACATTGAAATTATTTAAGTTTCAATTGCTGAGATTATTTTTGTTTATAACCTAGAAACAATAGTTTTCAAAATATATATTAGGGATTACTTGTGTTTAGCTTATATCAGAGAAAATGAAATAGTTTATATGGTTAAGTATTGACAGATTAGTTATATGAACTTTAGAGAGAAAAAAAACTGATAATGTCATGGGAACAGGTTTATATTGAGGAATATGAACTATAATGAAAATTGACTGTTTGGATAGATGAAGGTCAGATAAGAATCAAACATGGGGAAAAATGTTAATATAACTGAAAGCATGTTGTAACACAAATGAGTATTATAAACTGAGGTAACCGGACCAAAGTAATATCGAAAACCGTATAGTATCTTTTATCGAATGAATAAATTTAGTTACAGCAAAGTTTAACAACATTTGAAGTCACTTTCTTATCGTTTCTCTTGAAATGACACCATTACAGCAAAAATGATCAACAACTGGACAGCTTAGAAAAGCCGTTTGTTTAGCCTGTTCGTATCATAAATCATTTTAAGCAGTTAGTACGTGTTGCGAAGCCTACTATCACACTGTTTGATAGTGATACACTTTTTGTATATGATCTCGACTACTTAGGAGGAAAGACGGAGGGTAGGAAACTAAGTTTATTTGAGTAAATCGAACCATAAGTGTATGTACTCACTTAGATAAATATCCCTAGGGAACTTAAATCTATCAGTGGTTAATGTCTAGTTCCTTGGAAATGAAAGCCCTCTCGACCGATTACTAATTAGCCCAGTGTTAAGCTTGTAGTAAGCCCATTCAGCTACTGTATTATTTATCTGCTCACTGTAATTTAGACATTTAATCCACTATGTAATTTCCTGTGTGAGTATGATTGATCACATTTCTGCATATCAATTTTCAATCTACTCTCCTATTGGTTGTAATAATACACAGACAATCGATAATTTATCCATACTTGATTAACACTCATAAATATATATGGATTTTTAACACACACTCTTGTTTACCCTATGTGCTTGCTTCCTGTACGCTTGCGGATTTTACCAATCTTTAACAATAAACTATCTCTATAACTGGTGTTCAGGATTTTGAATAATCTCGAGTAAATCCATGATTCTACTAGGAGACTTGGCCTTCATTAAATACTCAGTTAACAGGATACTAGCAATTGGAGTCATATATAGGGGAAATTCGCCTCTACAAGCTAACTATGACAATACCTTTTCACTTTATGAACCTGTCGCTATTCACTCGCCAGTTTTCGTTTGTAAGATATTCATATAGTCAGTATGTGAAGGATCGTGAGACTTACTTTTTATTATTCCTTCTCAACTTGGATAAAAACGTTTCTGTGATCAGAAGCGCTTTTGCTTCCTTACACTTATTACCATCGTTTTTAAGCTTCTAGTCTATATCGGTTCCCTTAAGATTACACATACGTCTTGTTGACCAATCCAAACAATCAGAAAAAAGTCAGTCCTACAGACCAACACTTACCGGTTAACTTTAATCAGTCGATACGTAAAAACACAGTGTACACAACATAAAATCAGTAAAGACAAATGGCTAAATCCCAACTTGATCGATCATTACTTGGAAACTAGATAAATATTGTGACCTTGGTTACCACGCAAAGCACAGATAGTCCCTAAAATATTATGTTATATTTAGAGTTCTACAAACCAATTTTCTTTTATTCATAAGATAATTTCATCGTATCCCATTTATATATGTGAAATATCCATTAATACTGGAGATTTTTCATCACCAATTGACTTGTTCATTACCTGCTAAAAATACTTAGTCCAGTGTAAATAAATTATTTGTTTCTTAATTGCTTTTACACAATTGTAATTGTATGCTTAGCTAGTTAAATGATTGACACATCAAATAAGAGAATGAATCTTTTAATAATCTATTTATAGAAACAACAAGTGTGATAAATATAATACATATTCAATGCTATTTACATGTTTGTAAATATCATAGTATGTTAATTTAATAAGTAAATAAGTAGTATCTTTAAATGTATGATTTTATTTAAACTTTATTTCCTGTAATAAATTGATTTTCATTTCTTCCTCGTTCTTTTTCAAATAATTCAATCCAATAAAGTTGACGATGTTTAGGTAGTGTATCAATATTGTAACATTCAATAGATGCTTTGAAAATAGCTTCATTAAATGTTGTTGCACTAGTTATGTCGGCATAATCATTATTATCATTATTATTATGAATTAAATGAACTAATGAATCATGTAGACCAACATGTAAATTTGTATTCAATTCGATGGGTTTCGTTTGTCGTAACCATTGTTTATTAGGCTGTTTATAAAATCGTAGTAAATTTAGAATATCAGTTTTATTACCGATTGTTTGCATAGACGATGACGATGGAGAGGATGATGTTGGTTTGACATTTGTCATTTGAGGTAATAATTTACATAAACGTACAAATTGTTGAGTAAATTCACTATCCCGATTATCTTTATTGTATAAATAGCTGGAATGAAGAAATCAGATAGTTAAAGAGTTAGGTTATTATCACTCATTTATGTAACTCTCTTTTGATAAAATTCAATCCTTTACAATTATTAGATTGTAAAGTTAAACGTTAGGTGATATGTGCTAAAATCAGTCACAGTGGCACAGATTCATTTCTTTGTAGTGGCTGTGCTTCGTTAACCAATCACCCTCGTAACCGTTACCATATAATCCTCAACGGTGTTTGAAATCAGAAGGCAAAGAGAAGCAGCGACTACGGTTTTATTAGCAGATAACTCAGATCACAAAGCAGTGAGGCGAATGAGTGAGTCAGCGAACCGAGAGTGTAGAGTGTAAATGATGTACATATATATGTATATATATATATAAATATGTATATATATATATATATATATATATATATATAGGGAAATGAATGGATCATCGAACCAATTAAGCAGCTAATAATAAAGCTAGCAGAATGAATATATGCGTAGGCGGCAAGCAATGTTCAAGCATACATATTTCATACAAGCACAACAATAATAAAGGTACAATCGGTTGTTATAATACGGATGACTTTGTTCGCTAAATAAGTTAAAAAAAGGGCTTAACTGAGATAAATGAGAATAAACTCAATTGCACGTGAGTCGCTATACCTTTTTTTATCCTGCGCTGTAAAGATTGTGCACCTGTATTTTCGAATCATATTCGGATTGTTTAATCTTTCTTAGAATGGTAGCTGCTATATTATTTTAATTCCTTTGCAGTTAAACTTTGTAAACTCATTACGTTAATATGTGAGAACTTAGATAAACGTATATACAATCTTGGATTCTACAATGACTATAATTGGCTATCTGAAGATATGTTCAAAACTGTTCGTTATTTGTTCTAAGTCGGATTACGTATGTGGTATGACAATTCAGGAAAACATTTACTGCACGGCCATTTTTGTATTTTTTTTTTCGAGTGAAATTTTTTTTCGTCCCTTTTGAAAAAATTTTTCAGCCCCATCTTCCAATAATTTTCATTCTGTTTCGTCCAATCAAATAACTAGTTTTGAGTTCGTTATAATTGGTCGTTTATTTCTTCAAATCGATATAAAATATCAGGACATGACGACAGAGCACATTTTCTTACAATTATGGACGGTGGTAACATGCAAAATACGAGCTCTGTCGTTCCTCACGTTGTCACAGAAACCGATAACCTGTTCGTTCTTGAGCACATTGTACGTCGTAACGTCTCAATCACTTGACGAGCTCCATAAGAACTTATGAAACAGCTGCGTACTGCTATTATGTGGTGAGGGATTCTCATTTACATAGAGATCGGAAGCCGTATATTAGATTCGTATGTTGGAGAAATGGTCGTAGAACATCTAGCGGTTCTTCACAGCCGAGTAGACGAACGAGGTAATTTAATTAGTGTTATTTTAATTTTTCATTAAGGACTACCGTGAACACTCAATGTCCTTCCTTCGCATTTTGTAAGTTACCAACTGTCAAAATAATGTCGATATGGATGCAACGTTGAGGAATGACGAGGAAGAAATTGTTTCGATTAACTCAGAGGAGTTCACTGAACGAGGCGACGACAATAACGAAGACGTGTATGACAACAAAGTTTATGATATTTGCAATCTTGCGCAACCGCCACATGAAACTGCTGATGGAAGTACCTGAGTTTTTGTCCATGCGAAGCAATGCTTCATTTATTTTGTGCCTACGACCCATCAACACACGTCCATGGAATCCACTGTCCCATGTACGGAGCTATAATGGAATAATAGCAACGCCTTTGTTCATGAAACTCGGAACTGTTAAGAGAACGAGTAAAGGCCCTTTTCAGGGCCACCCACAATTTGATTTAAATTCTTTTGTTTCGATTCCTTATTTCCATAGCAAAGGTCAAGTGATCAAACCATCAAAATCCATTTAAGATTAATAGTCATTATGTGATTAGCACCTACGTATTCGTAAACGCTTTTTAAGCATTGTCAAATATACGGTTTAAGTAAACGATTTCGTATAGGAAATGTCATCTAATGAA